TATCTGTGCGCACACACACATATGCACACATACACTGTTACCCACCTATTCTTAAGCCCAGAACATTCTGGAAGTAATATGACAGAGATTTGGCAAGACAACGAGCATTGCATTCTGAATAGATCAAAATATGATCACGTAATGTAGGTTAACAAAGGAATCAATTACCAAGTTTAAAAAGAGCAACTGATAAGCGGGTCATGGCACATTCAGGGCACCGCAAAAAATAGTCATATACAGAAGCAGGTCTTGGCTCAGAGAACTGCAACTACAGATGTGACTTAAATACCCAATGCACGAAATGAAAAAGTGATAGTACAAGTGAAAAGACTGTGAAACCAGTGGACACTGAAGGAGAAATGAAGTTGATGCTGGACGATCATGAGTCAATTTCAGACAATAATAAAAAATCATCTAATTTCCTTTTTGTTTTCCTGATCTCCTTCTCCAGTCCCAAACCTAACTAACTCCTTTCCAACAGCCATTGCCGGTTAGCCTTCCCGAAAGGAAAGTAAGCGGGACTCACCGTTCGCAGGAACTGAATCTCCTCCTCTCCCTCTCCCCCTTCTGCCATCCTTCACCGAGGGTTATTCGCAGCTCCTCGGGAGAAAAGAGAAAATCCTTCTGTTTTCTCTCTTCAGGATTTGAATTTTTTATCTCCTTTTCTATGTCCCTCCCTCTCTCTCTCTGCACGTTTCACCTCTCTCCTTCTTTTCTTGTTGCTGTACCCCTCTCTCTCTCTCTCTGAGTGCTAGTGTGTGGGTGTGCTGGAGGACAGCATGAGTCCTGTGGCTCTCACGTTGTTGTGAGAGAGAGTGACGGGAGGCGAGGCTCTCCCCAGCTCCTCTCCCCTCTCTCCTTGCATCCCCCCAACCGCAGATGAGGGAGGGAGGGACGGTGGGTGAGTGAGGGGGGGGGCAGGCACCTTGTAACACATATACACGGCTCCCATCCCACCTTGCCGCCATGTTTGTAGAAGTGGGCCACTCCTTCAAACAGGCTGTCCTCCTGTAAAACACACACACACACACCTCCCTCCCCTCCTTCGACATGTCCGAGGCTATAAAAGGAAAGCGGGGTGAGGACTAGCCTTTGGGGAGTGTGCAGAAAGAACAGATGCACACACGCAAACACACACCTTAACTCTTCAAAGTGAATAAGTCAGCTGCGCTGTTCAAAAACCCCTTCAGAATTAGGTGAATGAGCGCACTGCATCCAAAGGGAGTTATTTGGAAAATTCAGACATCTGTATCACTTGGCAGTTTTCTCAGAGGCACAGCACTTAAGTAAGAACAGTTTAGCATAGTGTGCAGGAGTGATGCATTACCGATTTAGCAGAGACGCTCAATGGGGGAATTGCACAGTGGTAATCTTTGAGTCTTAATACAATACTATTTGTTTTATATTATTATTATTGCTAAATCTATTGATTAAAATAAACTTGAACACTTGAAATGTACAAATTCACAAAAACTTGGTCAACATTTGTGACATTATATACAACAATCAATTCTAAAGTTAGAGACAAAACATATCCTTAGTTTAAAAACATCTGGTTGAGCAGGACTGTGTGGGTCTGGTTTGTTTAAATTTAATAGGGACTGTCATTCAGATTCATCAGTACATGGGAAACGCCTTTTTTCCAACACAGCACCTATTAAAACCAGTGAGACAAATCCCAAATATAGGATTCTCTAACTATGTCGAGTAACAATGTTTTCATGACTACATCACTTTTAGCAAGTAGCTTATTTATAATTAATTATGGCTTTGCTTATGCTGTCTAAACCGTTGGTTCTCAAAGTGGGGTCCGGGACCCCCAGGGGTCCTTGAAAGGGACCAGGGGGTCCCCAGCAAAAATAGGGGAATCATTCATTTTCACTATAATTCCATCCATTAGTAACACAATGACTGAATGTATGACTATTTTGGTCATGAGTTTCGTCTATTTTCTGTAATTTGTGTCAGTTAAGGGGTCCTTGACGTGAAAACGTTTGAGAACCACTGGTCTAAAAAAACAAAACAGTAATTTAATAATAATATGATGCAGAGAAAAGCTGGGCAACTGCTGGAAGCTGGAACCCAATGGTAGATGCTTGGCATTTGGCAAAGGCAAAGTGAAAATTGCTGTTGATTAAATTCTTGTTGTAACATAAAATCTGGATCAAAGCAAAGCTAAACATAAAGCTTGGCCCAGTCCAGTCACCAACATGATGAGATACTTTGCACAGACATTATGTCAGGCTTTTAATTAGCTCTGTGCACTTTCCCACTTTCCCATAACATTTTAGATTTCATGCTTCAGTGTTGAAGTAGCAAAGGTCTTATCTGCACTATGAACAGTAATTAATTACTGCCATAATTTTGTTTTAACATCCCAGACGTTTATGTGGTGTCTCTCTCACAAGAAAAATCTTTGCAGTGATTTAGGGATGAACCTGTCCTTTGTCTTTACTGGCCATGAATCCCAAAGGGTCTTAAGTTGAGACACTTAGCCATAAAGACATTATCCTATTGATCTTTTTTTTATTTTATTTTATTTTGTTGATGTCAACAGTGTGATTATTTCTTCCTTCCTTCCTTCCTTCCTTCCTTTCTTTTTTTGAGGGAGTGGGGGGACATGAACATCGACTAATAAGGAGAAAATTTATTTCACTCATTATCATTTATTAATCACTTATCAAGTAAAAATACACAACAAGCTATTTGAAGATGTCATCTTTAGTATTTCTATATCTATATTACTATTATTATCTTGCAGGCTTAGTTAAATTAATTTAATTTAGCAGAATATAGGGGTCCACGTCAGCCTGAATAAAATCCCTTTAGTCTTCTTTTAGCTCTGAAGACAGGCTATTATACCTTGACACAAGATTGTTTTGCAGACTACAAACTCGCCTAATGGCAGGCCAAGAATGCTATCTCTTCAGAAAATCAACGGCTCTGTCAGCCTGATGCATTCCTGAAGAAAACAGTGGATATGGATGGGTGTCAGTGGCACACCCCTCTTGGTCATTTCAGGCAGCAGGGATGCACCAGACATTAAAGCTGGGGGAAACCGCATTACACACTCAATCAATCAGAAATGGTGATCAGACAGTGTGCATACATACACCCTTACCTCCTCAGTCTCCATCTGGCATCCTTCAGCATGCTCACCTTTTCGCCCATTCCCCACTGCAAATGCAGCTGGCAGCCTGCGTATGACGATGTTTTGGGACGCTGCTCGCAGGGATACAACTCCGTCCAGCGGGTAAACGGAGAGGAGGCGGATGAGGAGGTGATACGCCACTGAAGCAGAACTAACATGAATTCTGGGAGTATGAGTCCTGATTTAGAAGAGACCTGCTGTTGCCTGTTTTTTTTGAGGGGGGGGGGGGGGTTGCCAGCTCATGAATCCCCCTTCGATTCCGCGCAGTTACGGCACCGCGCCCGAGGATGGCGACATTGTACCGGGAGTTAAACTCAACGTACAATTCTCTTCAGTTCAGACTCCAAAAAGGTCAGGAATGAGCAGTACGTTTGAGGTTACTGTGCTGGTTCCATGAAATTTAATTAAGACAAAAGGAGGAAAATAAAGACCCTTACGCAGCCTACGCTTTGGAAACAACGATAAAACAACGAACGAACTTATCACATAACAAAACAAGTCCTTACAAGTATATGAAGTAATCGACGATAACTTAACTTTACCCTCTCAAGCCGTCTTAATGTAGCCTAGATTGACAAAACAGTTTTGAGCCCCGCACGTTACCGTTCCTTTTGCTTTTCATCACCGTCAATGTACCTCAATCAATTTAAAACACTTCTTAAAATGCAAATACAAAAATAAGAAAATACTTAGACAAGAAATAGCTCAATTAAACAATGCATTAATTCACAAACTTAATTGTCACACTGAAACTCCCATCAAGACTCACAGTGGCAAAGCAACAGCTAAAATGTGACTGTGTTGATTTACAATAAAAATGAGGTCCACCAGCTTTTTTTTCAGTGTATGTTAGATGTCTTTAGATTTACCAGCTGAGTTGATTGCAACTCTTCCTGTTTTAAAGAACTATTGCTTAAGATTACAGTAAGATTACCACATTGCCAGGAAAGAGCATTAGGCTAAATACTTTTTTTTTCTGTGACATTTCCATGCACCCTGTTCACAGCCTTCAGTGATCTCCTTTCTAATGCTAATTCAAATGCATTTTTAGGTGTTTTGGACTTGGCATGCAAGGGCTGGTGCAAGGATTCCTGCTCAGTGCATCTTTCCCTGCTTTTGAATGCCATATCGCCCACTCTCTCTGCCAGCCAGTCAGCTTCCTGCAGCAAAGAAGCCACCTCTGCAGACTTTGGGACATTAATGTCCCCTGTTTGGTCGCCTCTTCCTCTGTTGATGTGTTAAAACAAGGATGCCTTTGAGTCTCTCTGTCCAGCTGCACGGCCACATTCACAAGCACAAACACTACCTCCCTGTGTAATCACTTGCTATCCTGAGAAATGACAGAGGGAGTTAAAAAAAAAGAAGAACAGGAAGAAATCAGGGTGATAGACATGATTTGGGGGACACTGGAGACCCTGGATGAACAAATCTAGAAGGGAGGCTGTGCTAGCATTCAACAATGTTATCAGACATCTAATTATCTCTTTTCAGGAACTGATTCTTTTGCCAAGTTCAGGCAATGCCCCAGAAAACTGCATCAAAAGTGACATTTAGGTGTGGCCTATTTTTGTCTGTGTTGATGCTCTGAAAAAAGAACCGCAGATGTCGCTTCCTGGAGTACACTGATGGTGCTCAGATGATTGCTCATCACTATCTCTCTCTTAACTCTCCTCCTCCTTCCTCTATGGCTACTGCATTTGTGTTCACTATTTTCTCTCTCTCTTTCTCCTCTCCCCTCCCCCTTGTGTGCACACACACACACACACACACACATACATACACAGGCACACACACACACACACACACACACATACATACACAGGCACACACACACACGCACACACAGAAACCGATGTGAGTTCCCGTATCTGTCAAGAGCCAGTTCCTCCATTTAAGATGCTGACTTGTTTATGTTGAAGGGACAAGTTTAAGACTTTAGTTAGTTCTTGCACTCTACTTTGAAGCTTGTTTGAGGCATTTTCTCTTAACGTGTCTGCTTTATTCCAGGCAGACGGAGCATGAAGTCTTTTTTGTTGCTAATTTGTGGTTGATAGATATCTTCAGATAGCAGAGAGAGAGGGTGGTTGACTGACTGGTTTGATAAGCAGGGTTTAGGCGTACAGTTTAGTCCTGTCGATGACTAGTAGGTGGGCAGCTCTCACCCCCAGCAGCTCTCCGTCCTGTGCCTGCTTTTGCTGCCCTGGGAATATAAACACATAGAGGACACAGAGGAGGAGAAGGAGGAGGAGGAGCAGGGTCAACCATGGAGCTGTAGGGACACGCTCAGATGCCCGTGCGGATCACCAGTGGAGGAGGAGTGCCGTTGAGGAGAAGAGCTCTGCAATGAACAAGACCAAGAGGTAATTAAAAAGAAAAGAAGAGGGTGCATCAAAACTGAGAGTCTGGCGCACTCAGACCTAGTTCTGTTCAGTTTCTGAGCAAGTGTAAGTCTAAGTATGTGTCAGCAGCAAGTGCTTTGTGTGCAGCAGAGATGTGTGAACCTTTGAGGTTATGAGATACAGTGTGGTTTGTGCAAAGGCTCTACAAAAGTCAAAGAGAAATGAGGGCATTTAGTTTTATTTACTGCTTTGTGTGTGTATTTTCTGCTATTTATTTGTATCTAGACAGTGAAGCAGAGAGAGAAAGAGAGAGAGAGAGATAACATGTTGGACCTGCATATCAGTGAAGAATATCAACATCTCAGATTATATGTATGTACTGCACACAAGCAAGCGCTGACATTCAACAGTTGTGCGTGCCTGTTGCACTGCCTGCTTACCTTTCCATGGAAATGTGTTCTGCTTTTCTGTTTTTTCCAGCTCAAATCCATTTACATGTCATGTCAGTGATGTTTTTTGCAATTCGTCTTAGATTCTGCTGAGAAACTACACATTTAATAGCATATATTGTTTTCAGTGGTACTTTTTTACTGCTGTAGTTGTGACCACAGCTCTTATCAGATTGCCTGGAATGAAAGGGTTGCGTGTTGAATGTTAAGGTGGTCAGATATGTGTTATGTGTGTTTTAACTACCTGAGTTTAAGGTGGACTGATGGAGTGGACACATTACTGTGCTTCCCCTTCAGTAGCAAGGTTATCTTAAATCAGTAGTTAGAATTACATTTTTTTTTACAATTGTTATTGTGCATTTCTCAAGACTGAGTTCACTTTTTCAAAACTCTATACTCTTTAGTCAGCACAACAGAAGTCAATATAGACTAAACTGTGGATAATTTTTCATTGCTAATTCAATGACGACATCTTTCAAAATTCATGAACTGTCTCCATCAAACTCAACAACCATCAAATCACCTTGTATTTAGTCCATTTTACAAATGTTTATATTGTAAAAACTGTTTAATTTACATTCAAAACCTGCAATTTGCTACATTCTGCTACACCTACATCTAAAAAGGAATAACAAAATAAAAAATGCATAAATTACCTAATTGGGATACTGAGTGGCTATTTTTATTACTTGTGCCAGGTGAGGAAAGGTTTCGTAATTGTATGCGATGATACGACAGCGTTTCAATAGGATGGTGTCACTTTTCCCTTTACCTTACTCTTTATCCATCAACTCCATAGAGGAATTCTTTCCCTCACCAAAATTGAAAGTTGATTGGATGTTCCTCTTGGTCACAATGAATGCTGGATTCCTGGACATAATCTGAAAAATGATTGCAAGGGATTGATCAGACATGCAAAAACATTCTTTCCCAGGTGTATTACAAGAGAGGACACAGGGTTTGATGTAGGTGAGAACTTGTGTCAGGAAAGGTTGACTAGCTCTTATGTATTTCTATATCTCTAGCTAGCCTATACACTTATGTACAGTGAATATGTATAGTTTTTACATTAGTAGAATTACTTTAGTTTAAATTACTTTAGTTTAATTGTGCACACTTGGAATTACTCTATGCATAAATGTCACAGTAAAAAGTGAAATCTATTGAAGCATATTGCAGCATTTCTGAACAATTTCTTGACATACAATGTAAGGGAACAGAACCATGCAATAAAGAGGTGCCCTTTGTAATAGAATATTGGTTTATAACTAATTAATTAATGAATTAAAGATACTTAAGAGACAGTAGTGTTACATATTGTTGTGTGACCTGTTAGTTGTTGTATGTTGGTGAAGAGAACTGTCTGAAAAGTTTTGAAAAAGTGTTAGTATAGAGAAATGTTACCAATTGCAAAAAAAAAACATAAAGTCAAGATGGAATTAATAATTGATTTTTAAAAACTGACAACAAATACATTTTGTTTGAATGACACTTAAAATCTTTGTAGAAGAAAAAAAATATATAAAATGAATTAACATTAGCCTAAAAACAAAGAGACGACAATCTAAATCAACATGAAGTGAAGAAGAAAAATTAGTTGAAGAAGAATTACTGATGTCGATTATGAAAGTGTGTGTGTGAGTGAGAGAGAAGGTTTTCGAAGAGAGAAAGAGGATTGGCACTGAAGGTCTGTGTAATTGGACAGGTATGATTTAATTGTGTAAAAGGTTAATGGCTGCAGGCCCAAACAGTTTATACTTCTCACACAACAGCTGAAGAGGTTTATGAATATTTGCTGCAATTTTTCAGATGTAAACTACAATGGTTGATACAGTGGCTTTATTGTTGGACCAAACGGATGAATGGCTCATGGTAGTAAATGCATCCCCCTGATGCAGAGGGAACAAGAACGCAGGTTGTGAGAGGGTAGAGTGAGAGAAAAAGAGCAGCTCATAAACAAGGCCTTCAAAGGGCCCTGGCTTCAATTAATCAATTAAGGAAAGAAAGACAGGAATTTGCATATCCCCCCGCCAGTGTGAGAGCGAGAGAGGGAGAAAGAGGAGGGGGGAACAGGATCTGTAGCCAGAAGTCCTGACACGGATGGGAAAGGGAGAGAGTGGGGGATTTCCAAAGAAAAAAAGAAGCTGTTTCCTGAATGGTTTGAATAGAGCGAGGATGAACGAAGAGGGAAAAAGTGGGTGTAGAAGTAGCTAGAGGGGAAAAGGAGGTGTGGAAGGACTTCCTAAAACAGAGATATGATGACCAAGCTCCAATATTAAAAAGAGACTGCTTAGCGTTCTTTTCTTATTGACACACACACACACACACACACACACACACACACACACACACAAGGACTTTCTTTTTCAGTTTCAGCAGCCATGTGTTTCCATGGATGCACTGTTAAATATAGAGGGGTAATTATAATGTATGTAATACCTAATTTGTGTATCTCACTTTTTTGAAAAAAGTGAATGCAAATTCCTAAACAGTAACTCCAGTATAGTTCAGATTTGCATGGGAGTCCACCACACACTGAATGTATTTACCAACAGCTCTCGGCCTCTAACGCTGGTCAGGCTTATTGACTGCTGTGCTGTTAATGTGCTGTGTTTTACCTGCTCAGCACTGTGGGGGGAAATTCCCTGACAAACATTATGACATCAATAACATTTCCCCATCAGCACTTCTGTTTGTAGTAGTGAGTGTGTCTCCACATATGTGTGACTGCTTTGACAGACAGAGCTAGATTCACTCTGAGTCAAACAAAGAGAGGACAAGATGTAAAGGGCACTGAGATAAGAAAACCATCAAAAATAATTGGCTAAATGTATAAAAATTTGATTAGTTTTCTTCAAAACATGTAAATCAAATACATGGATAATCATATGTTTAGTATTTGTTGTTTTTTCATCACTGTAAAACCCTAAATACTTTTCACACAACGCAAAAAAAAAGACTTCACTTTGAGCTCTGGGAACATATGATAGGCATTTTCATAATCATTTGATATTTTTAATCAAAAAAGGGATTAAGCAGCCCCATATGGCCTCAGGCATAAGTCTCTGAGTCCACCTAAGTTGAGTGTGTTAAAAGAAATATGAATAAGAATCAGCTACTAGCTAATACTGTTGTCAGATGAAAACCTTCTCAAAGAGCTTAAGAATACAACTTAAGCACGATAAAACTGCCCTTTTGACATTGTTTAATGATTTCTGGATAGAGGTTAGCTAATTGTCTCAACTAACAGAGAAGCCAAGTCAATATTATTTATTTAGCCTACAAATTTGCCTCAAAGGGCTTTACCTATCTGTAAAGCAAACAACAAACAATAAGGATCTGAGGATAGAGACACCCTTCACATCACAAAATATGTGACGATATACAACGTCTTCACTGGACAATATTGTAGAAGTGTAATAGGTGGCTGAGGTATAGATAAAATTAACCAAGGCACCTTGATCATGTGCATATTTGGCTTCTGTCACTAAGGTCTCCATGTGCCATGAGGCTTACCTATCCTTACTGTAAATTTAGCTCACGGTGGTACATTCTGTGCTGTTTAGTGTTAGTGTTTTGAATTTAGTAGCCAGTGTAATGAGGCGAAGAGGAGAAGGAGGAGGAGGAGAGGTGGCCGTTAGTTGCCCAGCAGGTTTCCACATCAGCTGCCTGGAGTTGAACTACCAGGATACAAAGAGATAGGGTTGTCACTGACATCCCCCATGAGGGTTTCTGAACCCAGGAATGGCTGAAGGGGAACTGTGTGGTGTGATAACTGTGACAGCTGGATGAAACAGCACGTACAGGCAGGAGAGCAGCTCATGGTATAAATAGATAAGTTAATGTCACCCTGGACGCCTGTATGAAATTCATTCATCCATTAATGTGTTGTACATAAAGCAGACCCAACGGTTTTGGGTAACTGGAGTGTGGATGCATGTGTATGTTGAGTTATTTGTTATATATGTGTGTGTTGAAAATGTGAGTGAGCTGGGGAAATGAGCCGCACACACTAACACAGGTTAAGAGAAGGCGATGCAGGTCTGGTCATTCAGGGAACTTGTCACCAGTTCTCTGAACTCAGAGTATTTCCTGGTAATGTCATGACATTAGCTGCAGTATAGAGACCGACACAGCTTCACAGCTTTACATGTTACACACTGTTTCTACAGATAAATTAGGACAGATACATTGAAAGTTTTACTACCTTTTTAATGGAGACACACAATGATCAGGTGTTATTAAAACTTTGGTTTCATTTCAGATTTGGCAGGAGGATTATGGCCAGTTTAAATGTAAAAAGTATAAAAAGAGTCACTTACTGATTATTGTGAAATTCACTGAGATGTTGCTAAACTGAGCCCCTGATCTGAAGAGGAAGCATTAAACGTGTCATGAAACAAAGGAGTCTCATTTGTTTTTCTAAGGGTATTTGAAAAGCTATGTTAACTCTCTACAAAAGATGTGTTTCTCACTGACCTCCACTGGCCAAAAGTTATGGTCAAAGGCATGGTCTATATGCTATGCCTGACGAAACGCATAAAACTGGTTTTGGTCCGGTTTCTCCTTATTCACACACTGAATTGAAAAGCCAGAGGAAACACAATTAACATCAACATAGTCCTACATCAAAGTTCACAACCTTTTGGACTTTATGGTGATCGGTAAGAAAGTAATGTCCGCTTACAACCCCTTCTCACAGGTTGCATACTGTGGATCTTGTGATATTTCCTTCTCAGATAGGTTGTTTTTACTAACCAGAGCAGGTAAACTATTCAGTATTTCACCAAAAGAAAATATAGGTCAACAGTCAGTATTGTTGAGCAAGCTCAGAAACTTTTTCAGCAGGAACGCTGAAGAATAACAATTGCTTGCAAATCAGAATTACTGTAGATGTGTGTCATATTGTAGTACTGATGTCATCCAAATGTGACATAATATTGTTCTTTTTGAGCCTGACCTTGATTTTCTCTGTATATTGTAACTACTATTTAAAGGCATGCATTAATACTGCAATGGTATTGGCCAAGTATTGGCAATTTAATCCAAATATTTTGTAGCTCTCAAAATAGCCATCTTCCATTTAAAAACACTTAATAACCATATCTGTGCTATTCAGTTTTTCAGTAGTCATGATTATATAAAGCATATTGACTAATATCAAATCGGTTTTCTCTTCACTGGCTGTTGCATTAAAAGCAGTTTAACACAACAAAGGTATGGGCTCCATGTTTAAAAAAGCATGGGTGTTCTTCCTTCTCCTGATCCTGAGGGGGTCTTTACCATTTAAAGCTGTGACACTTTTAACTGGATAAAATGTCAGCACAAGAACAAGTCCATGTCCTACTTGACAATTAATGAACATTTTTTGGACTGTTCTACCATTATCTGTCTGCCAGCCAGCTTCAGGTGGAGAAACACAGAACAGTATGTAGTTGTTTGCATTTGTTCTGCCAGTGTGTGATGGTTTAGACAGTTGCAGCACTGTAGCACAGCTTATCAGATGTGGGGAACTGCATTTCCTATGATGCTGACCTGCACTACCTCACCACACTCTGCTCTACTTATTTCTAGGCTATGTATGCTGCCTGTCTGTGACTTAATTTCTCTCTGTCTGTGTCTCTCTCTATCTCTCTCCCTCTCTCTCTCTTTCATAGGAAGCCCAATGTCGAGAGCCCTGGTGGGCTGAAGAGCAGGAAGCTGGTCCAGCGGAGGAGGAATACATGTCCCAGTCCTCAGGACATCAGCCGGGCCCTGCAGAGCCCCAGCTCTGCTCCCAGTGCCAGTGCTGCCAGTCTGGATGAGCTCATACAACGTTGCCTAATCTGCTTTGGTCAGTCTCTGTCCCTACGTGTTTGCATGTGTTCCCAAATTTTGTCATGTGCCTTTACTCTTTATCACAACCAGGTTATATAAAGAGGGATGAGGGAGAGTGAGGGGGGAATCTAGGGTGAGAGAGACTGACAGGGAGGGAGGGAAACAAAGGGCAGTCTCATACAATCAAGCTTTGTTCTGTTGGGCTGCAGAGGCCAACTAGCTATTCCCATGCAACGTTAAACTATACAAATCTCGATCCTCTCTTCCTCACTTTCAGTGGTTTAACTGGTCAGTTCATCCAAATCACAAAACAACATCCCAACCCCTCTGGGTTTCTAGCACACACACATAGTTTATCTTTAATTTGCAGAGGTTTTGAGATATCCACTGGTTTTATGTTTATGTTTTATGTTTTGAACGCCAAAGGTGGACAAAGGAAATAACAAATAAACCCAAAAATATCTTATTGTCCAGATACAAGGAGGAAGTGGAATTTGTTTGTTTGTTTGTTTGTTTGTTTTGGAGAGGGGTGGTTGTACTGACCCTTTAAATAAAATAATAAAGTAATACCAATAAGAAATGTAAATCAAAAAATCAGTACAGTTTACAGTTTGAAAAAAACCAACGTGTGTTTTACTGAGATTTATAATAGCATTATATATGAAATGTGTTACAGTCAGTAGTTGTTGCTACTTGTAGCAGCAAACCACATGCATGCACATGTTTCATTAAGTACAGAGAGATTTGCTGCAGGTAAATATGTGCAATAATATTTTTTTCTATACGTGGGTCTGAAAAGGATCAAAAGCTGGTATTGACTGTGTGGAAAAGCTCCAGTGCTACTTGGTTTGAGTTGGCCAATACCTTAAAGGTGACAAGTAATGAAACCCACACTCACATCTCATTTTTGGCCTTCACTCCCTTTTACCAACAACCTTGAACAACCCAGTGAGACACATTGACTAACACTTGATTGTATTCTTTATGTCCCATTATGATATAATGCATGATGAAAAGGTACATTGTATATCAATTAAATTAGACACATTTGTCTAGACATTATTTTCTTTATTTGCTTATTTCTACTCTAGGTCACAGTTGGATGTATCTCATACAGTAGGCGAAAGGCAGGAAAACACCTGGGGCAGGTTGTCATTTCATCGCAAGGTTAACACAGACAAACACTCACACCTACAGGAAATTAAAATCTCCAATTTACCTGAGCTGCATGTCTCGGGAGTGTGACAGAAAAACAAAGCACCTGGAGAAAACCAAAATGAAAACTCCAAAATCCACTCATGAACTGAAATGAACTAAACTGCTTGACCACTGAGCCACCGTGGGGCCCACAGTTTTTGTTGTTGTTTTTACCCACATTAATCCTCCCTGTGTAAAATGTGCTACTGTGTTTTGGTTGCAGATCCAGAGGGGAAGTTTTGCAGCCCCAGAGGGTCCCAGCTGGTCCACATGACCCTAATGATGCACAGTTGGGTCGTGCCATCTCAGATGTTCGCCCAGAAACTTCTCACCCTATATCCTCCACTGTCACTCAGTGCAATACTCTGGTCCCACCGGTGCACTGCTCGCAATCACATGTCCACATTCATTAATCAGATCAGGAACAGGCATAGCTTTGTTTTGCACTCCTTGTCTGCAAAGCAGATTTGAAGAATATTTCCCTGATGGTGTTTAGTATAATGTTGTGCCATGTCTGCACAGTGTGTTTAGATCCTTGACTTTTTCTCACTTATAAGGATTGTCCCTCGGACAATAGAGGACAGAGGCGGACTCAGATCTGCCACCTTATCCGGTGAGTAAGGACACCAGACACGAGTGTGTTGTATGACAAACTGTGATAGAACTGGTAACCTGCTCTGTTTGTGGGTTGTAAACATATTTTCTGTCCTTCTTCGTGGCAAGGCAGTGGATGAGCCAGTTCCCGGCGGTTTTCGAGGCAGATCCCCTCCTTGAGCAGACCATGGGGGACCTGTGGGCACTGGTCCGGTCAGACGGAGAGGAGATGCACTCGCAGCTTATTGACACATCTTGCTTGTGAGCCATGTTTTCATTTGATTCACCATCATGCACTGGAGGAATTGTAGTTTGCTTATTTGGCCACAACTCAAACAGGTTTTTTCTATAAAAAGAACATAGTTTTTCTCTAAATAGAAAACACTTCTATTTTTGTCATGGGCTTTCTTTTCCTAGAAGCCCTCATGTGAACATATTCCAGGCACCCTCACCCTCTGTAAAGAAGAGGAAGGTGTCTTTGATCTTCGACCACATGGAGCCAGATGAGATGGCTGAGCACCTCAGCTACCTGGAGTTCAAGAACTTCTGTAACGTTTCAGTAAGTTCTGTGAACAACTTTTTGCTGTTCTTATTTTGCTTAATGAGGCCTCGTCATGTTGCCATGACTTGCAGAGATGTCGCTGCTCCCGAAACAAACACTCACAATAGGTCAAAGCAAACAATGAAGTGAAAGTAGCACTGCATTAGACTATTCCTTTTACTGAGAATTTAGGAAAGATGTTCCTTACAGAAGTTGGAGAATTGTCTTCTCTGTCAGTAGAAAAGCACTTACATAATATGATCTTCTCTTGCAATCATCATATGCCAATACATTATTCTGGTTGGTAAAAGTAAAATTTGGTGAGGTTTCTATCCTGCCAGTAGACCTGAGTGAAAACAGTGCTAAACTCAACCACCACAAGTTGTTTCCTGCCTGACCGCTGCTATCTGATTGGCCAGTTCCTGGACTACCGCAGCTACGTGGTGCGAGGCTCAGTGAGAGACAACCCTGCCCTGGAGCGGTCAGTCATGATGTGTAATGGAGTCTCCCAGTGGGTCCAGCTGATGATCCTCAGCAGACACACAGCCCAGCAGAGAGCCCAGGTCTTCACTAAGTTCATTCATGTGGCTCAGGTAAATTGGCTGAGGGATCAAACATCACAAAAACTGGCTAAGAGGCTCAGGGGGATTTTGTTTGGCTTGTTTGGGTTTGGGTTTTGTTTTTGGGAAAATTAGTATGTGCTATTTTGCACCACGCAGTCATTGACTCTGCTCTTTCAACAATAGAAACTCCGAGCTCTGCAAAACTTTAACACTCTAATGGCAGTGACTGGAGGCCTTTCTCACAGCTCAATCTCCCGCCTTAAAGACACATCTAACCTGCTGCCGCCTGACATCACTAAGGTATTTACTAAGTATTACATAATCATGAGTCAGTCTCCCCACAAAGCTATAATGATAAAACTTTTCTTTCTTGAATTTCAACATGTTTTTGACTTCAGTATCATATTTTTGATTCATGTTTTTATTACTTTTACCTTCTCTGTCTGTCAAGATATGTCTAAGCTAAGATTTAGTGCCTTAGATTTTGAGAGCCTGGCACAGTATGTGTGCAGGTTCCAGAAAGCCATTTAACTTGTTATATAAGGGTGAGGAATAATGCGTTTCCGTGTAACAGCAAATTTGAAAATAATTCAGCATCTGTGACTTTTTTTTTTTGTTGTTTAGATGTTCAGTTACATAGGACTGCAGGCCATCAGACAGTAGATGATCCATTTAAGATTATATAGGAAATTATATTTGCATACAGAATGGAACACTTGAACGAAATGCACATCTTTCCTCAAATTCACAACCCTTGTGTGAAATCTGCTCAAATGATCCAAATTCATTGTTCATAGGCTAACAAGTGAGACATTGTTGTGTTGCATACTTGCCTTAAAATGTTGGAACAAGGCCATGTTGTTTATAAATTATTTATTTGGTGACAGAATTGAACGTAAAATATCTTTGGACCAAATGTCAATCTCTTAAATCTCTTTAAATGTCTAAATAACTAACTAATTTATCATTACTTTCTTTATCCTCTTTCAGGCCCTGAGTGAGATGACAGAGCTGCTCTCCTCTCGCAGCAACTACAGCAACTACCGGAGGGTTTACAACGAGTGCAGCGGCTTTAAGGTGCCCATCCTGGGTGTCCACCTGAAGGATCTGATCTCGCTGAATGAGGCCCTGCCAGACTACATTGAGGAGGACAAGATCAACCTGAGCAAGCTGCAGCACCTGTACAGCAATATCAACGACCTGCTGGCCATTCACAGCTGCACACCACCCTTTGAGGCCAACAAAGACCTTCTGCATCTGCTCACGGTAGAGACAGAAACTAGGAGATGGTTTTTAAGAATTCAGATTAAAAAGTTTCCATGAAGAACATCTTAAATTATGTTCTTTTAATGCTTCAGCTCTCTCTAGATTTATACTACACTGAGGATGAAATATATGAACTTTCATATACCAAGGAACCCAAGAACTCCAAGATTCAGGTCAGTAGAGCTACATACTCTTCTTTGAAGTTGAGCTCTATCTAACGCTATCAGGCTCACACTTGTTTTAACCTCTTTTCACAAGAGGAGGGACATTTGTGTATCTCTCTGTGGGTGTAACATCTTCTTCAAAACAAAAGCAGAGATGCAGTGTTGAAATACATCACAATCAGCCACATCAAAGCGCTGTACGTTAGGGAAGCGTGTTATGTGGTGGGTGTGCTCTTTTTGTGTTTCTCACATGTGCAGTCCATCGTGTCTTATCACTGCATCTGTCGGTCCACAGCCTGTAGCACCAGTTAAACCGCCCATAGTGACAGAGTGGGGTTCAGGGGTCACCCCCCGGCTCGACCCTGGCACCATATCTAAACACGTCAAACAGATGGTGGATGTGAGTATGTGACTCTGCAACAACCTTATGTCTTTCACTTCCTTATTACTTGGCAGGCTAAAGCAGAACTAACCCACTGTTCCTTGACAAGCGCAACTGAATGTCTGATTGCTCTGTTGCCCCCTGCAGTCCATAATGAAAAATTACGACCAGAACGAGGATGGTTACATTTCACTGGATGACTTTGAAAAAATAGCAGCCAACTTCCCTTTCTCCTTCTGCACGCACGAAACTGACAGGTGAGGAAGCTGCAACACACACAAAGGCCTCTCACCATGACGTGCCTGTAAAACAGAGAGAACACGAAACTACATGAGTTGCTGAATGGTTTATAAAAAAACAACTCACTTACTCACTTTTGTGTTGTACTTTGGAAACTTTCTGCCCAGGGAGGGACAAATCAGCCGTGAAGACATCACCTCTTACTTCATGAGGGGAATGTCTATATGTGCCAAGCTGGGCTACAATTTTAATGATGCACACAATTTCCAAGAAACCACATATAAACGGCCGACGTTTTGTGATACTTGCAGAGGCTTTGTGAGTATTCATTGGATTCATTTGTGGTTTTATATAAATCAATAAATCAACAAATCGAACCGCAAAATCACATGTATCATGTCTGTCCTATTGTAGCTGTGGGGAGTCATCAAACAGGGCTACCACTGTAAAGGTGAGATCAAAATCCATGTAATTTCATCCTTCATCAAAGAGTAATTAGCTTCATCAGCGCAAGATTGTGGCCCATTAAAGGATGTTAAGTATTTTTGCTTCTGTTAAAGTCTTAACATTTTTTCTGTCTCTCAGACTGTGGGATAAACTGTCACAGGCACTGTAGAGATCTGGTGGGAATGGAGTGCTTGAAGAAACATAAAAACACAACTGGTTCCTGCCCATGCACCCCTGCCCCTGATTTAAAAACCAAGGGCAACAGCTGGAGTATGTCCTTTCTCCGTCATATACAGAACACACCCAAAATTCCCTGTCTATAAAATGACCTTGAACCCAGCACACTGATGTCTTACGTTTCCCGTCAGGTTCAGAAGAGGAGGCCTTTGTTTTTCCCCAAAGTAACGACACAGAACACAACAAGGGCACCTCTGTTTGGAAAAATAACACAGCTGATTCGGCACTGTCGGACCGCTCCACTCAGACAGATCCTGGAGTGTGGACACCTGAGAAAAAGGACAAGCGGGGAAACCACCACAACTCTCTTGTACATGCGTCCCCAGACAGAAAGGTGAGACAGGGTGTGAGTCCATGTAAGGCAATCATACAGGAGGACAGAGTTGCTTGACCTTTTCTGGCTTTTTATCCAAATTTTAAGTCTCATTTTAATGCTCATGATCTCAGCATTGAAGGAATATCCATGTGGTGAGAAACACAGTAAGAGCTTCCAGCGGTGATGCACTTGAGTTAAAAACTTTCAGGTGCTACTACAGGAGCTAAGAAATGATGAGTCAATTGCAAATACTGGCTACTTGAAGTGTAAATTTACTACTTTAAATGTCTCTCTGTACTGTATTTCAAGTAACAGTTTTGCTGTTATAAGCCTCTTTCATTTTTATTTTGAATTATTCCACTGCGACTATAATTTTGTTTTGCACCCCCTTAAGAGTCTACAGAAGTGTTTTCACTAAAGTTGGCTGATTAGACCTCTAGTCTCAAATCCTTTATTCAACACAGCAAATTAATAATCTTTTGTTTCTTTCCAAACGTAAATAGAGAACTGAGAAATGTAGCCTCTGTGAACTCACCCTTACCACCAAAGATACAGAGGCATAGTTTTATTTACTGATGTTTTAAGTACAAAGGAGGCTAGTGCATTTGTGTTGCATTTTGACAAATTCAAAACCAACATCTCTCTCTGGAAACACTGTCCCTACTACTCAGGATTTAAGGATAGTTTTTTCTTGAAATACTTTCTCAGAAGATTAAACAAACTTTTTTGAGTGTTCAGTGAGACTTATTTTGTAAGATCTTTGATGAACCAATAAGGTATCCCACAATAAAATGTTGTTTCTGTGTTTGAGAATGTTATATTGATGATAAATCTGTCTTTTCTGTTTTCCAGATCAACACACTGCCACAGAGAGCCAGAGGCTGCTCCATGCCGGTTTCCTTCTTGCAGGAGAAGATGGAGGAGCTGCATCTCTACAAAGACAAGAGCAGAGAGCCAGACTGAGCGCACCTGTCCTCTAACATTTCCCCTCATGGACAAAACATTCAGATACCACCATCTTTCTCACAGAGCTCGGTCTGACTGGTGTTGAACTGATGACATTTACTGGCTATTCACATCAGAATACCAGCAATTACGCATGGACTCCCTCATGTTTTGAAGTATGGATGTGATATGTTTTTTATTATTTTATTTTTAGTCATTAGTTTGGCTTATTGTTTAGGCTTCAAACATCAATGTTCCTACTGTAATTTATAAACACATTTGGGTTTTTTTTTTAGAACAGATGCTTGGGTTCTCTGGTGCTAAGATTTTTCACAACCTCAATCCATAAGGTCATTTATGACACAAGGGTTTTCGGATCTTATACACAAACAATAAGAACAGGGTAGGAAATTAACACTAACCTCAACAAAAAGCTGGTTCATTTAAACATTGGCAGCTATATGACAACACTGCAAATGAATTTGTAAGCCGCAACAAATTTTAGAACTGCCATTTGTTTGGCTTTGTGTTTGGTGATATAACATGAGACACTGTCACTTGTCAATCAGTAGCTATTACTATATAGTTTAAGGTATTTGCCCTTTTAATATCTCTGCTTATTGTAGGCCAAAAAGGGCAGACAGTTATTCGAATCACTGAAGCCTTTTCTTTATGGTAATTGTAATTTGTGGCTACCTTCCTTGACAATATTGGCATTTTCATCTAGTTAGTAAGTTGCTTAGTTACATATTCAGAAAATGTTCCATCAAAATTTCTATTGCTATAACAAACAATGTAATTGTGATAAAACACTTTGTCCTTATCACACATGCCTAGTTTGGTTGGTAAATAGTGAAAGCAGCTTGTGAAGTCTAATCCATCAGCCACTACAACTAGCAGCAGTAAATGTTGATTTCCTGCCCTGACAAAATTTGACTTTCAAAGTTTATTCAAGGTTCAGCAGGACTGCACTGGGATTATACATATGCTCAACATATTATGTTCAGCTAAATGCTTATTTGTTTTGTCCTTTGTCCACAATTACATAAAAAATACATCAGTAATAAATCATGTATGTGTTGTGTCTGACTTAACTTAAAGGCAGAAAAAAAGGATCATATTAACATCTACAGGTGTATACAATTGCATTTATTGTATAAAGACAAGAAGACAGCTTGGATAATTGGTCATAATCAGATTTTCTTTTCCAGGTAGAAAAAAAATGGGTTTGACAACAGGCTTTAACTACTGGACTTAATGAACACCAATCACGAAGGGATAAAAAAAATATGCACATACAACTACTCAAAGTGGCAAAATATTCTTCTCAATCAAAGACTGGATTAACGCTTAAATACTACAGTATCAACACCTATAAAAAAATGTTCCATGTTTGAAATCTATTAAGAGTAAATAAAATATGCTCACTCGGTAACTGAAAAATAAAGAGCAAGACAGACGAAAGGGCCATGAAGGTAAAAAGCATGCATTTTGTTCTTTAAGCTTCTCAAAACAAGCAAAATTATTCAGGCTTTGCTGTATTTTCCTGCCCTGCCACTTTTTCACACTATGTATCCTAGAAATATGCAATTACCTCTTCAACCTGTAGCAAATGTGGAGTTTGTAATTCAACAGACATCCACATTCAATGCATAATAGATAACATTCATTAAATGTTTAATATCTATCACCTCACAGTCACTGCTTAGAGTAAGACTTCATTCAGTAAAAAAAAAAATGAGAAGACAAACTGTGTACAGTTTGCACGTACATTGATTGGTGAAGAATGAAGGCTACTGTGTTAAACCAGACAGAGACCATTATGGTTGGGGACTTATGTGAGACTGTACAAAATCGATTTGCTGCAGAGGTCAGAGTGTTTAGGACACAGGTGGATGCAGGTACAAATGCAGGGTGAAGCTACTGAGAACCAGAAGATGAGCCTTGGTTGCCCTGTCCAGGGTAGCTGCCGTACTGGCTGTAATACTGGTTCCATTGGTTCTGGTTCTGGTAGTACTGCTGCCACTGCTGAGCATACTGGAGGGAGAACAGAAAGCAAGCACAACAGTGAGAGTATGTTTACATTTTAAACTGCTCCCAAATCTCTATATTTACACCTGCCTTATGCACAGAAGATCATTTTCAGAAGGATGAATACTCAACCCCAAGTCTATCTTATGAGTGTCAAATATTAACACCTGCAGAACATAGCAAGGCTTAAAAAGGTTTGTGGTTAGCTCCCTTGTGCAGGGTTGTGGTTGATTGAGATTTGTCTGTATATTTGGTTTGTGACCAAATGTAGTCATGCGAGACAATTTTACACAGCTAAGCGTGCAACTGACCAATTTAAGCAGTGTATTTAGAAAAAAACATTTTTATACTTACTGCGCATATAGAAAGTACAAAAGGTTCACTAGTTTTTTTTTAAAAAAGGCATTTTTATTGACTTTCCTGCCAGGATATTTTAAATACAATTAATTACTGCTGGCCACAACCACTCTTGTCAGGAAAGACATTCATGGCTGTCTTTTTTTAAATTTTACCCAAACAAGCAGGTTTGGCTCTTTGTGTCATGGTTAGTAGGGTTTTAGCTTGCCAATTGGGGTTCTGGTGATCTAGCCGAGTACAGGTAGACATTAGTGTTTCATTAGTTCTTGACTACCTGCTGATATTGCTGGTTATAGCTCTGTTGCTGCTGCTGCTGCGGCTGTTGCTGCGGCTGTTGCTGTGGCTGTGGCTGCTGGTGGTTGTAGGTCTGGGCAGTGGTAGGTGTCTGGCTGTAGCTCTGGCTGTATCCTGGGTACTGACTGTAGTTGCTGTAGTAATTCTGGTTGTAGCTGCCCTGGCTGTACCCTGGATTGTAGCTCTGGCTGTAGCCCTGGAGTGGAAAGCAAAACACATTAATTTACTATTAAAGTCCGTTTATTTTTATTCCATTTCTAAAATTTTATACATGAAGCTTATGTTAAGTACCTGGCTGTATGCTCCCTTGCTGTAAGGGGCCGGGCGATTGTAGCTTCCTCCTGACTGCTGGTTGCGGTTATATCCACCACCACGTGCATCAGAGCCTCCGTCGCGGTAGCTGTTGCCCCAACGGCTCTGGTTATAGCCGCCCCGATTGTAGCCTGCCAAATAGGCAAAAACTATGTTACGACTGCAATATACATAACATTACTATATAACGAAATACTGGGCCAAATTTTAGCCTCTTGTTTATCATTACATTCAAATCACAGATAAGCATGTGGAAATTATTACAACCTTTTCAAATTTTTAAAGATTGTCAGGGACTTATGTTACAGAAAAAAAATACATATATTTAGCTATGTGACTTGAATTTAACAAACATACATGTCCATGATAAAGACAAAATATAAGTTATGCTGAGTGCTCCACTTACTTCCTCTGTACCCACTGCCTCCGTCTCCACTACGGTTCTGATAGCCACCACGGGACCCATCACGGTTGTCATACCGTTGGAAGCTACCACTGCCGCGGCCGCGGAACCCGCCTTGCCTGTTGTCAAAGCGTTTATCAGGGGGCGGGCCAGCCTTGCGGCCCTCCTCATTGTACTGCTTCAGCAGATTTTCAGCCTCATCTCGCTGCAGCTCAACGAACGTCACCGCTTCCAGGAAGTCGCAAGCCTCAGGGAGAGTAAAGTTGGCTTGGAGAGTGACAGAGGTGACCACAGGAGGAGAAGAGAGAGACAGCCCATCCAGCAAGAAACGGATGGAGAGGAAAAAAAGAGAGAAAGAGAGGGGTAGGGGTTGTAGTGAAGACCAGAGCAGCCACACCACCGGAAGACAAAATGAAAAATAATTACTACCATACATTGACAGTGGAATATCATAGAGAAACTAAGAGCAGATAGATGAAAGCAGATGGCAGGGTAAAGGGAACAAACATCACCTCCAGGAGAACATGGAGGAAAGATTTGTTTAAGCAGACACAGGAGAGGGGGGGTTCAGTAGAGGTGGGGAGGGGGACAAAAAGGACAACTAGAAGGTTGGTGAGAAGAGGAATCAGCACTGCAAACCAAGGACAGCTGATGTATTGATGTTACAAATTAACTTACAACTTCAGCAAGTGACTGCTTGTAAGTTTTCTATTTGGAAACATTATTTTCAGGGAAGCACATTGTGCAATATTAACTCTACAATTAAATGACCTCAACAAGGCCCATGTCTCAGTTTGCAGTGCATTAGAAGTAAGCTGTATGACAAGTGGCAGATAGAGGGCAAAAATAAGGAAGAATCAAATTCATGTGGACTGTTTAAAAAATGTCCAGGTCTGATATCTGGCCAAAGCCTATGATGGGGAAGGGGGGGGAGGGGGCATCTTCCAAGTTTGATTTTAGAGACAACACATAGAAAAGTAAAAAGTAGATCTGGTGTTTTATTTGTTGTTTCCACAGCATTCCTACCTTTCATTTCTAAAACAGCATGATCGGGCACATCCTTCCCCTGCTCATTGGTTTGCTTTAATGTTCGTTCTTTTAAATCCTCGTCCGTGGGACAAATTACAATAGCCTTGCGTTGAAAACCTTCAAAAGGACGCATTTTTCGTCTCCTTGCTGATCCATATACATTTGTCTAGCAATGGTGACAAGAAAGAAGTAGAAGCTTGTTTGTTATTGTTTACTTGTAATGGCTTTCCACTGGAAGGAAGCTGGAACCCTGCAATAATGAAGTGAGAGAGGTTTGGCTTGGATGTCAGTCTACGCTTTTACTCAGGTTCTAATGGCCTCTCATCACTCCACAGACTTACCTCACACACTGTGCATCCAGGTGGCCAGTGACTGCTGATAAATGTTAATGTACACAGAGGGACCCCACAAACATTCAAACTGACTATACTGTACATTAAATCTTTTGCCTAACATTACGACATACGACTTTCAGATCAATAAATTCTAATAGATATTTAAATTGATATTTAAGTAGCTATTGTGCTTTTTCAATTTTGTCTTCATGCAGTGATATCGTGCTGCTAGTAAATGTGTTTTTAAAAGTGTTATTACTGGCTTCTAATGTGAGCAATTGCATCCACCATCTAAATGTAGATCTAACAAATCTAGGATGATAAAATATGTGATGCCCTTGCAATATATTCCAAATGTGCCCTGCAATATTACAGAAAGCATATGTATTGTTCCAATTTTGATTCAGCTTATTCATTCTGGTTCTTACAGAATACTTGTTCAAATTATTTGGATTTTATTCAATAACAAAAATATGGTGAAAGCAAAAGCCACCACACAGATTTAGGCTAATGTTCCATAAATAATGATGTATTAAGATGACGAGTGGTGGTGGATTGTTACATACTAGCAAAAATACAAATATTCTATATCTTGCCAAGTAATACTTGAGTTAGTCACCCCAAGATTAGCCATTTCTAGGGCATTATGACAACTGGGGAAAAAAATGTTGCATTCTTCCTGTTAAATTGCATTAAATGCAAATCCATGCATAAAGAGGATTTGTGATTATATTTTGTTCAATCACTATTGTCATTTGCTTAACCACACTTTAAGTCACTATCTCTAGTTCGCCATATTGCAAAAATAAATATTAAACATGTGTATGGATGTACAGCAGGTTCAAATTTTAGCTTTAAGAAATCGAAAAGTGGAATCACAAATGTTTCTTAACAAAACCTTAATTATTTAAAATTTGCAAGAACAGGATCTTATTTAGCCCAATCAAGAGTTTGTTTTTAACAGGTTAGATTCAGAATTCAAACTGCTACGGATCTACAGTACAAACAAAGTAGACGATAAGATAAGAGAATAAAGTCAGCATCATGGTGTGTAATTCAAATATGGGATTCACCGTCACTAGCAAAGCTCTGAATGGGTGCCCTACTCAAAGTACCAGCTGCAACCAAACAATCTCCCTGTTCACTTATCAGTAACTAGCAGTTTCTACGGTTTCAGGTGTGGTGATGGAGCAGTGGATAAGACGCATGCCTTTGGTGTGAGAGACACAGGTTCAATAATTAATTATATATAATATTTATATTAAATATGTGATGCTCAGCCTACTGTCTTGCAGGCTGTTCTGGTCAAATCTCAGCAGGCAACTGGCTGGCATGAGGACTGTCAGCTGATTAAGCTCGCCCGGGCCCATATGTTCCATCCTGTCTCTCTTCCTAGAGCTGACATCCACTGCGCATCCATTTCTTTTGGTTTGCACTTGAAAAGCGTCCACAGCGCATAAGCCACACATCCATGCACTACTTCCACTGCTGATATGGTTTATCTACACACTTAATTGTTTGATTTGTATGAACCTTAGTATGAGAGTAGTAGTAGGATTTGCAAGAGATGTACTAAAACTATCACTTCCATTAACAACATCTACAAATCAACCACACACCTCTGACAATGCTCAATTATTACAGCAAATTCTCTTTCTGAACCTCCCAGTTTGGATTAAAACTTTGTTATAGCACAATCAATCTCATACAGTAGCATTCTACATCCAAAATAACTTGCTATTCTGATGGGTCCCCCCACACTTACCTCAACTTACCTCATCTTCATACGGACTCAAGTCCCAGTCAAGACAACAGACAGATATAACCTACCTGCACATACTCACAGTGTCCATGGAAAAGACAGTCCACCATTAGACCCACCTACCTTTTTCACATTTACTGAGCACAAGAATCTGAAAATCTAAAAACTGTTAGTCATTACTTACCTTGAGGGTCAATTTAAAAAAATAAATAAAAAAAAATAAAAAAAACACACTCAAAAGTTCCATGTATCTCACTTAAAATAGCTTTTAAAAAAGCTATCAACTCTGTCTTATTAAATTAGCAACAGAAGGTGTTTTTCTTACTCACCAGTCAGAGCTTACTTGTTTCTCAACATCTTTACATAGTCATGGTTTACTTGTACATTGTTGAAATTCACAAGACAAACAATACTGTATTATGACAAGAAATAGCAAGTGCAAATATACTGAGGGATGAAAACATGAAATATTCTGTCACTTATGAGAGCCATTAATCATTTTCTTTTTCAATACATGACAAGAAAGTGACAAGAGGGTGATAAATGCTTCTTCTCTATTCTAAAATACACAGAACCCCCTGAAAGATAAATAAATAGTCCATTAGAGAGTGATTATCAGGGCACATTGACTGACTGTGGCGAGTATCAGAGCAGAGTGTGGGTGAGAGGGCAGTACCTGATCTAGGATGTAGTTGCGTCTCTTGCGGGCAGCGATCTCAATCAGCCTGTTTAGACACTGGGTAGCCTGCTGTATCAGAACATCCCAGCGCCCAGCGTAGTTCTTCTGGCGACGCAGACCCATCACCTGCACAAGCAAAAATAGTCAAATAAGACAATGGTGACCATAAAACCGTGTGAAGTGTGTTTAGTTTTGGGGGTGGTTGTCCAAACTAACCTTCATCTTGTCCATGATGGCATTTGTGCCCAAGATGTTGTACTTCTTCTCAGGGTGAGTCTCTGCATACTTCATGGCCCAAGTGGTCTTTCCGCATGCCGGCAGGCCAACCATCATCAAGATCTGCAATAAGTGAGCAAAGAAAACCGCTTAATTGAGCATAATTATTTTTACTTCACACATCCAGCTGCAATTAAAATCAATCAAAATGTGTGATCTCAAATGTATTCCCTCTATTCAAATTGATCTAAATCTATTAATATGGATCAATTTACTAAGATTTATTCTAAGATTTTAAGACCTTCAAGTATTTTCACCTGTTGATTAGTGTCAGAAAAAACAAAAATGTCTAATTACATCCATAAAAATAAATATCTACCTCATTTTTTGGGCTGCATGTGTGCTGTATCCACTCAGTCACAAAATGCCAAATACTGTTTTATAATGCAATGCTGCCCTACCTCGCATTCAGATTTGGTGGCAGGTCCCTTAGTGCCTCTGATTTTGTGCTCCATGTCAAGATTGTGGATGTAGGTGTATCCTTCTGGTGGGGGAAAGTACGGCTCAGGCTTCTGTCCAAAGTTGAACTCAACAGCACAATTCTTCACCAGGACATGAGGAAACAGGGCACGGCCGGCCAGCGCATCCTTGGTTGTCCGGAAGGCAACACCCAACCACACTCCATTCTTAGAAAAGCCCATCTCCACCTCGTCACCACTGTCAAAGTCCTATTATATCCATGAGGTAGAAAAGAGCACGAGTTCACACCACAGGAATTATAAGTAGTGATTACCATAAATACCATAAATATTTGTTAAACCCACAAAATCGGTTATTAATTAATAACATTGAGGTCCACTTAAAATTATTGCTTTGTAATATAAAACTATTCTTATGTGATGCTATTAAAACATAAAGTAATTGAATTACTGTTGCAATTACTTACAATGTAACAGCCGATGACGTCGTTTTCGCCAAACTTCTCGCCGAAGTCTGCAAACTTACAGTCGGAGGATTTCTTTCCCGTTCCTCCGTAACCAAAGGAAAAGGGCTCCTCACCTGACAGAATGAAATGCATTGTTTCAGTTTCAGGCAACAGCTCTCTTTTGCAGCAAAGTTTCATTCATGTGAAACATCATCTCGACCGATCTGGCTATTGCTCCTCTCACCAAGTTGAGTGCTGCAGTGGTTGAGTGACCATCCAATTCTGACCACATGGGGATCTGGCTCACTACTGGGCAGGTGCTTTACAGGAATTTCCTCATTGATCTGAAAAGTTGGGGACAGACAAATTAGGTCAAAAACAAGCGTGTTAACATTGAGTTCAGGGTTAGGCAGTGTAGGATGTCATCGCCATTCATACCTACATAATAAATAAAGCCTGTCTCGTGTATCAGGGATCATTATGTCACATGTGGACACGGTATATAGAAAAGGCGTATTTTCAGTAGCTCAGTGTTTCACCAGATGAAACCATTAGCTCTGTCAGAAAAGCTAACAGTCATCTTATTGGTTGCATGTGTGAAGCCCACTTCTGTCTAGTTTTAAAACAACCTTGACACTAGAAGAAGATCATTTTTACTCATTACCTTCATCTCATAACACACACGGCCCTGGGTGACACCATGTGAAGCTCGTGCTCCAGCCCACAGATAAGCAAAGCCTTCAATGGTCAGTGGATAACCACTGTAGCGGTCTCGGGACACTTTGAAGTGAAGATCACAGTTGTCTATAAAAAAAATAAAAATAATACATTTTTTTTTAATTTTATATATGTATTTGTTCATCACCTAAACAGAGCGCAAGCACCACTGTGGATGTTGAGTTGTGAATATAGGTCGTAGCTAAAAATATTTGAAAGCCTTTGGAGAGACAATACTATTGTATGATACATTTATAAATGAATTGGAAATTAAAAACACTGAACTGAAATAAAGAAGCTCATGGAGAATGGGAAATGCCTCAAGCTAAGACAGTGAGTTCTCTTTACTTGGGTAGAGATGCATTTTATCCCCTTACTTACATGTATCAATTGTCACAAGGGTGTCATCTATGTTCTCTTCTTCATCTTCAGCAGGGGGCTGTGGTGTGCGTGATCTGTACAATGTCAGCAGAGTATTAAGTTAACAGCATTTACAGCTTCTTTCTTTGACACAATGCATATAATTAGACCAGTCAGTGACTGTACATTTAACTACTGTTGGTGTATATTACTACTACTATTACTGTGCTGATTTAGAACACCAGATAAATGCAAGACATCACAATTTATGATGAGCATACCTCTTGTCCTCGCGGTGCTCATAGTAGCCGTAGCCCCTGCTCTCCTCGTGGGGTCTCTTGCGGCTGTGGTGTCCACCTTTATCAGCTTCCACCTTGACTTGCTCAGCCTGAGCTGTGCCATCTTGCTCGCGCTGATGTTCTGTCTGATGAATATCCTGGTTTCTGTCTCCAGTAGTCTCTGGGTCGTCTTCCACTTTGACTTCCACTTTGACTTCTAAAATGATAATGTACAATGACAGTGACCTACTGCACATGTTCAGTGCTGTAACTATTCAATCAAACTTGATTTAAAAAATGGCTCTGTAATAAATCATATTCTGTGATGTTCAAAAAGGTTCAGTTTTTGCTTACAATGTAGCAAAGAGATTTTTCTCTCATGTCTGTAACTTGGGCTGGACAAAACACACACCATAACTAACTATGGCAGGAATATAGACCTCCTGACAGCGTCATCAGAAATCTGATGGCCAATTATATACCTTCCACACTATTAATCACAGAGCTATTGTACTGCATAATTGAATTGCATAAATCCATTTTGAGTTGTCAGAGACCTGCCCCTGCCACAGATCATGCTGACGCCATATAAGAATTTACAGTAATCAAAAAAAGAGTTGCTTGAATTCTATTGTAAATAAACATTTTGCATAGAGTGCTAAGGTTGCCAAATTTTTACAGTGCATGTCACATAAACGCAACACCCCCCAATTTCACTTCTTTGTTGATGTAATATACTTCATTTCCATGACCCATGATTCTGCTGACAGCACCTGTAATCATCTGCATGCTCTGCTATCTAATGCGATGTGTCATTTCATTTCAGCTCAGGTTGAAGTTGGAGAGATGCTGGGAATGATATAAAGTCTATGTACAAATTACCTTGCAGAATGACATGTGACCACAGTTTGATTTTAGTATGCATTATCTGTTTTTGCCTGAATTTCCAATAAGGTGCTACGATTATTAACATATTTTACTAACACCTGTGGGGAAAGTTGTCCTCTGTATTTGACCCATCTTAACAATTTAGGAGAAGTGGGCAGTCACAGACTGAGCAAACTGCATACCAACTTGCTCTATGGAGGTGACATACTAACCAATGAGTCATTGTGCCAGTGCTAATTTGGCATGCTGTACACTAGTGAACCTTTGCTGTGTCTGTCTCCCTCATTTCTAAACTTTATTTACATCTTCACTACTCTAGTGGTGAACACTTCATAAAGGTAACAATCAAATCAAGGTAATTTAGCTGGAAAACCTGCTGAAAAGCTGAAGGGGGGGTGATGGTTCAGTGGATAAGACGCATGCCTTTTGTGTGAGAGACCCGGGTTCAACTCCCCACTATGACACATCAACCAATCTGTCCCTGAGCAAGACACTTAACCCCTAATTGCTCCAGAGGCATGACACCTCTGACATAAAGAGCAAAGGTAAGTCGCTCTGGATAAAAGTGTCAGCTAAATGAATAAATGCAATGAAAATCACCTTGTTTTTGCTTGACATTCTCCTCTGGCACTGGCTTGGTCTCTTCCTCAGGCATCAGGTCAGATTTGTGTATATCGGCATCTGCTGTGAAGTCAGGCATGCTGTGACCAGAGTCTGAAGCTGGTTGACTTTCATAAGGCTCGCCTTCTGCCTCCTCGTCCTCATAGTAACCGCCTGAATCTCTCCCCTCATCTTCCTCTTGAGGGGCATCATCACCATCTCCTTCACCATAGTCCTCAGCAGCTTCTGCATGTAACAAAAAGGGAGATCTAAAACATTCAGTTCTCACTCTCATAACAATAGAAACATATGAACTTAATGCACTCTTGTGGAACTTGATTTATACTGACAATTTGTTCTCTTTAATTTCTCTTCTGCAAATTTACTTTGACCTCTTTAAGGCTGGGGCGATTCGTCAACATAATCGATTACGTAAATACATCAACACATCCAGTGTGGGATTATCCTGGACGAGCTCCAGCTACAAGACCGCGCCTTTGACCGTCTAAAGTTTGGAGTATTTCAAACAGACACTCAACAACGTGCTGCTCCATGAGCTCTGTGAAGTGGAGCTTCACTGCAGCACAACTGCTGTCCACGAATAGTGAAGCAGCACAAACACGTGAAACGAAAGTATCCCACAGCACTTTGTCTAGACGGCAGCACCGCAAATCGTGTTTACTTTCTGTTGCCACACAAGCACGGCACATTATCAGCACGAGGACACGTAGTATTTCTTCATTGCCTTCATGTTAAGTAATTTCTGCCCCGCTGCTGTCGTGGTAACGTAACGTTACACCGCCAGTCATGTAACAATCGGCTACATTATATCACATTTTCTGTTAACTTAACGGCCACATATGAGCGAGAAAACAGCTGAATCTAATTACAGACAAACTGTGACTGTCTGGACAGTCTGAGAGTCCTTTCAGGTGTTATTATCATACTGCATTACTTAATATTGAAATTAATCCATGTCAGAAACATTTAAGGTTTTAAGTAAAGTAGCCTAATTAATGTCTGTTATTGTTATTATCACAACACATCAGTGATGTGGAAATTTGATTCATTTTAAGATTTGCTGCTATTGTCATTATTCTAATGTGCTTCATCAGGATGATTGAATAAAATATAGATTTATTGATTAGACATGTTTTTGATATTTATTTTGGATAAACTGGTATGTTAATCGAGTAATAGGCAACTTTTCTTTCTTTAGAATAAACAAAATTAGTCGTTAATCAACTTGAAAAATAATCGATATGTACAGCCCTAGACCTCTTTAAATTAAAATGGACAGAAATCCTGATTCCACACAACATATGTAAAAGGTACTTTTTTACCCACAAATAAAAGGGTCAGAACCTGAAGATTTTATGTAATGGGTTAAAAAAACTTTGTCAAATGAATCATTAACTTTAGACCTAAGCAAGTTAACATTTGCATAAAATGTAGGGCTTATCACTGATTTCATGAAGCTTTATTTAAACAGTATGGGTCTGAAAACAATGGATTTGTTAAGTTTAAATGCCACAGATAAACGGTAAATAAGTCAATAACTGATAGGACAACAAAATATCTATTTAAAGAAACAGCATCAATAGGGCTTACCTTGTTGCTCTTCGGCATCCTCGGCATCCTCTCCATCCTCATTGTCTTGGGTGTCCTGGGTGTCCTGGCAGAATTCATCCTCTTGCTCCCCTGGCTCTGAGGCATCAGCTTGAGCTTCAACTTCCAGAGCGGCTTTCAGCCTCTCCACCAGGTCTGCCTTCAGGCCTCTGGTGTCCAGGCCGCGGCGCTGGAGCTCCTCTTTTAATTCGTTGACTTTCAGTTTCTTCACGTCAACACTCATTGTGTTTAGGTTGTGTGTTGTCTTTATTTATTTGCTAACAAAACAGCAAAAACAGAAAATGGTTAAGTACAACTTATACAACATTGCGTCTAACTTTCAAATAGATGTCTGATGGCGGCAGTGTAGTCTCAACCATACAGGCTACATTAGCTGTGTAGCTAACTAGTCTAGCAGCGCTGGATAACGTTACATACTGCACCGTTTTACCTTGTTCCTAAATTTCTACAAACAATGTAATCTCGGGTTTATACCGGCCTTTGCCTATATAACTCTTTGCAAGTAGAACTTCTCACTGGAATGTTTGTTAATGATATTATTCGCTTCAAGATTTCGCTCCGTGGCTAACATTGGTAACCTTCTTAGCCTAGCGTTAGCTAACGTTTCACCAACAACCGATGCAAGAAAAGTAACTTTAATGAGAATATGCAAACTGCAAGCGTCATACAACGTTGCATGCAAATCATGCAGTCAGTGCATTGTTTGCTGAGCTTATAATAGAGTTACGATGCAAAATAAAAACAAAAATAAGTTTGAGGCCTACCTCGTCTCACTCGAGTTGCGCGGGTCAGCCGTGATAGAAGCTTGAGAGACAGTCGCAAGCTACTGCCCTCTAGGGTCGTAGATTAGACCGAAACCTAAAACCGGAAGTTAACAGGACCTGCACACATAACCTACAGGGTTTTATTTTTAGCTGAAATTGTTCTTAAACAGCTATGGGCAGGTATAGTGTCAACTGAACAACTCGTTAGTTTCTTTGCTGAGTTATATTTGAACAGCCGAATCTGAGGGAACCCCGACAACCAGTTGGTACGGTAGTTGTTAGGCATTTGGAACACTCCAAGCAGGAAGTGGTGCAGTGTTTACGTTGAGGTACGCTGGGTAATGTAGTCTTATAAGCCTACCCGCCTAAACTCTGAGGCCTACAGCTCAGTTGGCTTTCATAGTGTTATGTGAAATTTGCCAATATATGCTCCTAAATATGACTCAGTACTGTGGGGATGATTTGAGCTGAAAGTTCAAAAAAAGTTTAGTTTCTTAATTTGTGTGTAATGTCACAAAAAACTCTTTCATTAGACAGCATACCATTTTATTTTACACCATCCTTTCACAATTGTCATCAAATCTAATGCACATGAACCAGAAAAGGGATATACACTGTAAATCATGGTGTATATACAATATGACATATCCATGAAACTATACAGTCCATGGGGCAAACACTCAAAAAATAATCCAATGTTTGTTCTTATTGTCTGTTTTTGACCTTCGATCAAGTGCAGAAAATGTTTCTCATATATGAAATTAAAGGATTAAGGAACATGATGACCACTGAAATAAACATAAAGTAATATGCTGGAGCTGTTATGAAATATATTACCTTTAGAGTCGCCGTGGCCTTTTACTGTAAATCTTAATATGCAGTCAACTTTTTAATGTTCATGCAAGATCAACAATAGAAATACACTATGAATATCATAGCAATCCCCCTTTACAACTAGTTGCTCAAAACATGAGCTAATGATAACACCCAAATCCACAGTGCACTGATTTGCTTATGTCCACCCTATTTAATGGGCATGGGACAGAGTGCGAAGCAGGGTCATTATCAGGCTGTACATATGGCAGTACATTGTTTCTGCACTGTTGTTCTCTCACACACAGGCCGCTACAGAGGGCCACATCATAAAGCAGAGAACTCATTTAATCACTTTTTTTCGGGAACAGGAAAGGACAGCAGTTGCCTGTTGACCTCTCTAATCTGAGCATCTAGAGTCTCTGTGGTTAATGTCAGTTCTGCTAGTTGAGTCTGTAGGCTTGCGATGGTGTCATTCAGCTCCTCTTCTTTGCGGCGAGAGTTAGAAGCCTGCCTGCTGTACTCCAGCACCATACATCCACCACCAACAAGGAAGATGATTGCCTCTCCCAGCAACTCTGCACCCAGCTCTGCAGCCGCCTCCTCATTCAGGGGCTTAATAACAGAACCCCGAAAGCCCATGATCCTCATCTTTGTTCTCATCTCAATCCAATGGTAAACTGTGAGGACAAAGAAAATACAGTGCACAGTTCCTTGTCAGACTTTCAATATGATATTTGGGTGTAGAGCTGCAATGATTAATCAATTAGTTGTCAACTAATTAATTAATCACCAACTATTTTGATAGAAATAATTCAAAATTCTCTAATACCAGCTTCAATGTGAATGTTTTCTGTGTAACAATGTATCGATTAATCGAGAAAACAATCAACAATAAAAAAAATCATTGGTTGCAGTACTATTTGGGTATTGCTTACAGGTGAACAGTTCGAAATACGAAGTGAGAATGTAGCTAGATGCACACATACAGTTTGTCTTGTAAATGCAATGTAATGTACAATTGCCACGGCAAGTTTGTGATGAGCTTAGTGCACACTTAACCTCTTAAGGCTAGTTTTTGATATCATTTTGCACTCTGGACCTGAGACCAATACCTACACAAACACCACCAGCTGTGAAGTGCAATCTGTTTCTAAATACATGGAAATACTAATTCTTAATAATCAGTGTCCAGGTAGCATTTGGCTGCGATTGTTCATGTTCCCACGTTATTGTCAATTTTACCAAAGGTTTCTTAATCTGACAAAAGAGCTCTGTCAACCCAGAGTGACAGATTTCTTTGAAAGATCAATACCCAATATTTCTCTATTTATTTTTAATAAAAAGGGATACTTTCATGCTGTCACCAAGAGTATGATTTTGGAAAGAGTTGCTTTCCTTTTAATGTGCTACTGTGTCTAGACTAGTGTAAATCTTTAGAATATGAATTAATGTTAGAGCTAAGCGGCTATTTCGAGCCATGACTTCTGATAAGCGCACAGTAATAACATTGAACATAATTAGCTTAACCTTCCACTTTGGCAGTGTTTACTGTGCATAAAACAGAGATAATGTGTCTTAACAACAGAGCAATTCGATGTTATATTCTGAACAGGACGTGGGGTGAAAGACTAACGTTAACTGTCCTGTTAAGATAGCAAAGTATTCACAGAATATGTTCAATGACAGACTTCGAGCTTGCCTGGCTACTATTGGTCGACTAGACAAACCCATGGATATAATTGGGTAAGCGGTCTAGACAAGTGCAATGTCATTGGTTGTTGCAGACCTCCTCGCTTTATCCCTCGTCCGGATGTCTGACACTGAAATCTAGCGGTCATTGGCAGCCGTTATCTCGGTTACTCACGCTGTGCCGGCGGCAGACAGACGTAATTCTTAAAGAACTCGCTTCTCCGGGCTCCCGCTTTTATTCGGTTCGCTACAGGCTTGCTCATTTGCCTCACTCCGAGGTAGAGGAGCTTGGCGATAGGGAAAGCACCGACAACCATCTTGGCGGAAACGCTTCCCCGCTGTAGGGCGGAGCACTTTGAGATGACGTAATGACGTTAATGATTGACAAGCTCAGTCACGAATCCGCCCACGTGTATTGTAAAATGAGCAATATTAAGACATCCGGCATAAAAATACAACAATCTTCTTTTACACATAGTTTTATAATAGCACAATGACAGTTGACCAACTACTTCATCAAAAAGGCAAATTAAATATTTTAAAGAAATTCAAAATACCATAGTTGTATGCCATTGTTTAGAAAGTGTCCTTACTTCTACATACCTCTGGTGCTGTAGATCTAACTTTTAATGTTGTGTGGGAAACATTTATATTGGTGATACAAATATGAGAAGTGCTCTAGCAAAACTATTAGGATCACACTTATGTTACTCTCCCTTCATCTACATGTTGTTGGTTTTTTTTGTCTTATTTATTTAATGATGCAGCCTACATTGGAAGAACATATGGGAAACTGTGATAAATAGTCTACTGTCTCCATAATAAACTTAAGGAAGTGTCTTTCAGGATATTACATAGAATTTACTCAGTAAAATGTGTGTTAGAAAGATTCTAACTAAATGTGAATAATAGCTAAGTGTTTCTGTGGACTAGAAAACGGATATATTATTCTCCATCTACTTTTTCACTGTTTATATATGTAATGCTATATTTTAGTCAAGCGACATAATGTAGGCCACAGGTTTTCAAAGTCTGAGACTGTAGGAAAAATGTGCTCCTGCTACAGTTTACCTGGTCAGTTTTGCTCAAGTCCTGGATGCATAAGGGATCATGATTAATATAATATATATAGGCTATTGTATATCCCCTTTTGATAATTAATATAATAACTAATAAAATATTTTTTTAGCCTGCCATGAAACTGTTTGGAGCCCCCCCTGGGGAGGCCTGCCTCCCAAATTCCATATTCATGAGAAAAATGGTCAGGAACCGAGCCAACTTTCATGCACTTTATTGATAATTCATACAACACAGAACCATTTTATCACATGTTAAAATAAAAAAGGTTAGACATTTAAGTTATGAAACTATGATACAACAATATGAGCAATCCTGGGCACTGTAAATGTAAAAAAAAAAATAGTTTATGACATTTTTCCAATTGTTAGTTTTGTCTGTGTATCTGCTTATAGCCTATGTTTAGAATAAAGAAAGTATCCCTATAAAAATATAAATAAATAACCCGCTCACGTGTGCAAATAACGAGGCCAATGCTCTATTAATTGACTAACTATTTTAATAAAGTGAATTTACGTGAGGCCAGGTGGATACTGACATTTCATTGGATGAGGTCTATTGTTTTTACAATCAGTGATGTAGTGATACTGTACCTAAACATTGATTAGACCTACTGCACTGGATAATCTTTGAACAGCCTTTTATCAGCCACTGAATAAAAACGTGTAGAACCAAAATATACGATAGACTATATCTGAACATCCACCACAACCTGCATATTTCTACTTTATGTCTATAGCTTTATGTGCCTGTAGTAATTTAGGCTATGCAACGTGCTGGCTAGGCCTACCTGTTCAAAGAAACGTCTATAAAAGTATCAGCTCAAACGCGTTGATGCCTCACCTGGCCAGCTGTTGTAGAAACACCTGGTTCGGGTTACAGCAGCGGAGAGCGCCAGAGGGGCTGGACTCTGAGCCAAAATAACTCAGTAAGCAGCTATGACTAAATGCCTAGAGCAGCCGCCACAAGAGAGAAACACAGATTGAGCAAACCGACTTCAGGAGGACAATACTCTTTGAACACGGCTCAGCTTTCCTGTTGAATTCGGGACATAAGAACAAAAAGGCTCTCGTTTTTGAGGTAAGGAAGTTTTTAAGTCGTCCGGTAGCGCATGCACACGTCTGCGTGGGAAATACTGTGCGTGGTGAAGATAAATTGTTTGATTATAAGATCTCGTCAGTGTTGGGCGAGTTTCGTATGCTTGGCGTTGCCGTCTGTAGGCTATTTTCCAATTAAGTACAGCCGTGAACTTTTTCTTTTGAATGGTTCTTTCCATGGTTTTCTTGTTCATTGTGAGGGGTCTTGAATGCGAGGAGGGGCTTGTTCTCAAACTAATGAAAATCAGATGTAACCATCCCAGCCTGGCACGCCTCACAGTCTGCTGCTTAACAATGCTAGACTAATGTGCAGCCTGTAGCCTGTACACCACCCTTAACCAGTAACTTTAAACTTCACATTCATACTATAGGCTACAGCCAGAGTAACTATCTACAGAATGCTATGGGGCTCAATGTGACTTCATTAACAGTGATATTAGTCTATCTGATTTAATTATATTTTTATCATAGTTTATGTGATATCATTGTTGGATCTTCACCATATTGTGTAGCAGATTAATGAAATGGGGATTTTAAAAGCTGCTGAGATAAACAAAAAATCCATCATAACATTTGGAGTTCCTTATGCACTGTTTCTTGTGACTTCAAGTTCACATGTGTCATTTATTTGCTGAACTTATTAGCAGGGCTGATCATTAAACAACTGTGATCTGCAAGCGAACCAAACATTCCTGTCAGAGCAGAATTTAAGTGGCGTGTATCCAGCTTGTGTGCTCTGCAGTGGGTCTCTGTCAAAACCAGCTGGGCTGCTTTGTGTGTTGCACTTGTTGTAATCTGTTGGTTAACAAACAGCTGTCACCATATGGTAATTTGTCTTTCAAAAGTTATCAAACATACAAATTTGTTCTCTTTGCACCTCAGCATGAGCATGAAACACTGCAGGAATTAAATAGGTCATGTAACTTGCCAGACATGTCTGTTATGTTGTGTAGCACTGAGAGATTCCAGAGTCACATGCTTTGGAGAACAGCAATGCTCTAGAAGTGAAGCACATAGATGGCTAGAAACCATAATGCCAAAGGGGAACCTGCAGCATCATGAACCAAAAGAACAATGAAGGCAAGTCGTATTGTATAGGGATTAGTTGTTATTATCCCAGAAATATCTATTGGTCCATATATACTGTAGTTTATGTATCCTTAGTGTTTGCAGTTATCCTCAGCTTGAGATGATCAATAGAGATGCATTGTTTAAGGTCTTTGGCATTGAGAATTGCTCTCATGAATACAGTGTGCTATGTGTGCACATGTATGCTCATTTGTGTATTTATAGGTAAAAAGCCTAAGTATTTCAATGACTAACTAGGTGGGAGGAATGGGTGTAAGCATTTTAAAAAGAAGCATTCTGGGTGGAGTTTTTGAGAAGCTTACAGTTGGTGAAGTTGCAAAGTAGAAGATATGATTAATATATGAACCATTCATGGTTAAGGCAAGGCAAGACAAGTTTATTTGTATGGCACATTTCAACAAGTAGGCAATTCAAAGCACATTTAAATACAATGAGATTAAATGTAGTTAAGCTGTGCTGTGTAATATAAATCAAATAAGATATTAATTAAACTTAATTTGATTTAATAAAAGGAATAAGCAAAAGCCTTGATTTAAAACAACAGAGTTTCAGCAGACCTGCTGTTCTGGTAGCTTGTTCAAAATTATATGGTGCATAAAAACTGAACACTGCTTCCCCAGACCTGTCACAGACGACCTGAGAGGTCTGGATGGTTCATAATGTAGTAGAATATCAGAAATGTATGTTGGCCCTAAACCTTCCAGTGCTTTATAAATCAACAGCAGTATTTTGACAGAGTGTAAAGACCTCATCAACATGGAATTTATAATTCCTCAGTAGTCAATTTTAACTCAACGGCTCATGTAGCTAGGAAAAAACATAAATACAGCTTATTACTTAATGGCAGTTGTGTCATAGTTTTGTAAGATGTAATACCAGGGATGATATACTTTGGATAAGCTTTTTTGGTTGATAAAAAACATAAATTCCCCAGATGATCTCCTTCCGAGAGCACTGATACACACGTTTTACACAATCATTAGACAATACCTCCCACCTCTATTGCATGATTAGCCTTGGCCTTAATCTCCTGTCAGAATCCAGAACTGCCAACACATCATTTCAAATGATTTCCTTCACAAGAGACTGGGGTGAGCCAATGTAAACAGTACATTGGATGTTATTTTTTTCAACTCATGCCATGAAAATACCTTCAAGGGACGTCAGACTAATGATGTTATGGATATTTCAAATCAAGCTATGTGAGAACAATTAAGAAAGCTCGTGGAAATATAATTTTAATAACAGGGTTACACTTTTCACTGGAACATAAGAAAGTGGATCATCGCAGCTCTGTAAAGAGATCGGTAGGAGATCTATTCATTGTGGGGCATAATACAGTTTGTAAGAAACAGAAAGTTGCCAGACTAGGACTCACTGTTAAAAAAAATGAAAGGCAAGTCACAAAGGGAAGCAATTTGTTGTGTCAGAGGATTTGAGTTCTAGCCAAGTTTCTTCCCAAGAGTGAAGAGAGACAAAGCCAGAAAGATCGGGAGGAAGGATATGAAGGAGGAACCAACAATAGTGAAACAGGAGGAGACAGAACTTAATGGATGACTGAATGGAAATAAGGAGTTCAGCAGAAACTAGAGAATTGGTTAGATGCATAATCTGGAAAGAAGGAAGGACTGCTTGTAGTGTTGGTCAGCCACACCCTGGTATTCTGGAAAGCTAATGATTGTTGTCTTTAATCTTTAAATATCTCTTCTGCTTATCACAAGATCTCTTTTCTTTTTTGAGTGTCTGTTAAACAAGTTTCCAATTTTTTTTTTTTACATCTAGTGTGCAGAGGTAGCCACTAGTTTTGTTAAATATTCCTTCGTGGAAGTCTAATTGTTGTTTGTTAAAATGGTAGAACCAGCTGACAATGTAATCAAAGCGCTGGAAAGAAAGTGAATATGAGGTTTTCCAAGAAACGTCTCTTGAGAAAGCAACCAAAGTGCAGCAGCAAGCCTAGAATAGAGGACAGCACCGCAGTAGTGGCCACAAGCTGTCAGTCAACTTTAAATTCTCAGATGATTAATGTTTCTGTGTCTCTGTACTTAAAAACAAATACCCCTCTGTACTGGGTGTGTACTTTCAGATGTAACAGTTGCCTTAATTGATACTCTATGTAATAACTGCATGTATGTATGTGTTCCTGAAAAACATTAATTCACATTATGCTCTCTATTATTGTTTATTTTACCTTAGTTTATATGCATAGTAATACAAACATGCTGATAAGAAAAGCAAAAGATGATGAGATGCACTTTGCCAACACAAGCCGTCAAGATAAAAAACAAGAACAGGGAGATTATTTAAAAAAAGATTCCCTCAAAACCACAAAATAACAACAAATAAAGTGCAAAGACACAAGCAAATCCAGAATCTAAATGACAACAGGACACAAAATTTTTACAAGATATACAGTACCTTTATATAAAGTCATTCCCTTGGTTCAGTCTATTTACATGTGAAACAATCTTATACATTGACAATAAAATGGCCACTGACTTACAGCACATTTGCTTATGTTAAGTCACATTAACACAGTTCAATAATTAATTCAGGGGAATAAAGCTTGAGTGAACAAATCCAAAAATAATATAAATATATATATATATATATATATATATATATATATATAGTGTGTATATATTTCTTTTTTCTTTGTGTGCTGACAGTGTAGCAGTAACATTAGAGTAACACAAACAGTGACTAACACAGTAAAAGTTGTTATAGAATAGTGAAGAGAAAACAGAGAAAGTGCCCAAAGCCATGCAGAGAAGTTTAACAGGAAGGGGTGGAGTGAGTGAATTTCTGGGTGGGAAGGGGAGAATTCTGTGAATTAGTGATCTACCTGACCTTTGCAAGTCAGTGAGAGTGTAATCTCTTTTTGTGTGAGCTGCTCTTGACAGAGATAAGCGTCCCAGACTGTGACGATGAATGCCTCACTGGGAGGAGTAGTGAGGAATGTGAGTCTGTGTCCCTGCTACAGTACAACACAGAACACTGTGTGACAACCCGTTATTATCTGGCTGTGCTGCACACTTTAATTTGATGACCTTATATAACACATGTTTTCCTCTCGCCCTGGTGTCAGGGGCTCATCCAGTAACTGAGAAGATGTGTACTATCAAATGTTGGTTGAGGTTGGTCTAGTTTTTAAAGATGCATGATTTAGTATGTCTGTATGAAAAAAAAATATAGACTGTATAAAAGAAATGGAGCCACCATGACCATTGGTTTGTGGACAACTGTTTTGAAGCCTTGAGTTTCGCATTTTGACCGTCACCATTCTGTTTTTTTCAACCAAAAGTGACCATATACGTACACAAGAGGGCAGAGCTTGGGAGGGATACACATTAGGTGTGTTCAAAATGACTGACTTTCGCCGACTTAATAATCTAACATGGGCTTCAGGTGACTACAGGGGCGGGGTATAAAAACACTGGTGTCAAGTTGGAGCTTACTGTGAGCTTAGAACAATAACTGATCAGGCAAAAGGTGGTTCCAACTTTGTGCAGTTGGAGAAAATAAACTGTGGCCACCGGACTCGGCGACTGCTGCTGCCTTGGACATGGTGACATTTTGCAACGCCGGCAAAAGTCAGACACAGTTTCTAACCAGCTTGCCGTATGTTAAGTCCAGCATGCATCACGTTAAGTCAGCACTGCGTAGCGCCGCATGAAGTCAAAGGCACCTATTGCTACGCCTGACAGGTCACCATGGTAGGAACTTGTCAATCACAAGGAAGCCACACCCCAAAGCATACCATGCTTTATCATATATTTTACCATAAACCATAATTTACAAAATAAACATCATTCTATAGAAGACTTGAAACTAGCGATTGAGACCATAAAGTAATTAGGAAAGTGAGAGGTAGGGTCATTTTCATATAGACTTCTATACAATCAGACCTATTTTTGCAACCAGTGGAGTCTCCCCCTTTTGGCAATTAGAAAGAATTCAGTTTTAAGTAACTTCCGCATTGGCTTCACTTTTCAGACCTGAGGATTACCGCTTGGTAAAAACACACACATCAGGCCTAACTAGAAAACTTTGGGTATCACTAACTGAAGAACACATAGACAGAGCATTTTAAGGGATAGTCGGCACAAAAAGACTATAAATTACAATAATTTGAAGTAGGAAATGTAATGAGTGGTCACACAGCAGGCCCAGGTGTTGAAACATCAGGGACAATGGATTCCTTGTTTTCCTCATGCTGAGAGAATGACCTCACTTTCTGTCTGTATGTGTGACTATGCTTGCATGGCTTTATAGTTAAACTAGGGCAGGATTGTAAATGGGGGAAAGGTATATTAGAATGGCTCCACACACTTGGATAAACATTTGATGTAACATTTTTTAATTTTTTTAGCACCATCATGCACATATTTACTGTCTAATGGAAATAACATATTAGGTTTAGACTAGGGCTAAACAAATATTCAAAATATTATCAAAATATAGCCAAGTATAGCATTATAGCCAAGTGCAACATCCAAATTGCTGCAATTGCAAGTTAAAATGTGTCATAACATACCATTATACTGGTAAATCATATTCTCCAGACATAAGGGGAAATGCTTTGTTTGGTACAGACCCCAGAAAAAAATTACATCATCATCATTGTTATATTCTTTCAGTGAAAATGAAATTCAGAAATTACTATTCCCACCAAAACTGTGACTCATTTCTGTCATGGCATTTATCTTATCCAGTACTTGAAGGCCAAATTGGGACTTATTGTGGCCTTTAAGAATGTCATGAACTAAAGGTTGTCCACAATATTAAGTCTTTGCAATGCTAAAAAGATAAAGATGCACTAAGATTTTGTATTTTGAGTTTATGAAGAAGATACCACAAAGTAGCTAGCTTTTCATTTTAATTCTAGTATGTCTCTTTCATGGAATAATCACACTGGAAAATGAATCAAGGTATTTAAGTTTCTTTTAATCTTACTTTTACAAAAAAATTGTCATCCTTACAACCTGTCTGCCCAAAGTCTTAACAAAGTCTTCATTTTCTCATTTGATAGCTGTTGTTGCATATAGAGTATGTTGATGACCAACAATGTTAAATTATAAAGAATTCTTTTCCATTCAGATATTTTAACTGATTATTAGGCATGCAGTGATTCTTTGGCACATTGTTTGAATAGCTCCCTCTCCGTCTAAACTAATTGACCTGTTGGCATACACAGCTGTCTGGAATATTAGTAATATAATCTGCCATCCACTTGACTAGCTGTGTATTGCACCTGTTTGTCTTTCTAAAACTGGCTTTCAAACAGGCCGGTCATATGTGATGTTAAGCTGGAACATCTGGTACCACAGACAGTGTGGTGGAGTCAGCAAGTAGGACAGACACTGTTCCTAAAAGGGGCCTCAAAATCACTTCAAGCAAGCCTGCAAGGGTTGTTTTGCATTGGTAAAATAATAAGGAAACTTTGGCTTGTTCAGACATGAAGGGCTTTCAGGTTATGTGATAACAGAAAGTTGGCTGTCTGTCAGAAGGGGTGAGAGAGCTGGGAGCTTGTAGCAAGAGAAAACTGGTAGGGTTTAACACTACTTAGCATTTCAAATAAAAAAGGCTTGGAGTCAGATGGGATGAGAGAAAAAGAGAGCAGAGCATGTTCATACAAATCTTTGTTCTATGGCATCTTATTATAGGCAGGAACATGTTGAGTTCCATTAAATGTCTAAAGTTATTTATGCTCATGAGATTGTGAAAAGATTGTCAGCTTTCACAATCAGTATTACTGCTCACAAACTATGTGATACTTTCTTCCTAACAGTGGTGTGTTTCCTTTTTTAGGAGCCGAACGCTATTACCTCACAGCCATGAGTTCTCAGACAAGCTTTGGCAGCAGCATGCTGTGTGAGTTTTCACAAATCCTTGATTTGTCTTTTTGGCTCAGTGTTTGTGCACGTGGGAGTACTATCCTATGCTAATTGTCTGTGGTGCTTATGTGGTCTATATTCAGTCCAGTCTATGAATGATGACCTGAATGCATCACTGGCTACAGCCGATGAGTTATCCAAAGAGTTCAACTCCCTGCTGAGCGAGGCCTCCACCCCCACCAACAACACAAAGTCTGGATTTCAGGTACACACATACCTCCAGTGCTGGTTTTCTCCTTTTAGGTGTTAGTTTGCAACAGTTATATTATGTGTAGTGTTTTATATATTAAATGTGTGTACATGTGAGACTGTCCCTCTTTCCTGAGGTGAAGTGTCGCACCCTCTCCTAGCTAGCATATAGCATGTCACTAGCATTTGGGTTTTCCATTAGAGACTTTATTTCTTAATTTCTTTCTTAAAAGCTACAAAAAGACCCATTGGTACAGCAGTCGTTGAATGCCAATGAAATTAGGGTTGTTTAATCCTTGTTAAAATGAAACAATATGAAAGTTTTCCACTATCGATTATAAAAATATAGTAATTTCATATACATATCCATATATTTCCCTCCAGACTATTTCTACAATCTCCAGAGAGAAGCCCCAGTCCACCACCTCCATCACTACAAGGGAGTTAAGTAGCAGCAGTAATGGCAGCTCCAGCTCTCAGCCTTTCTCCTCAGGCCCAACAACTTTACGTCCCATGGACTCTGGCTTCTCCAGCAACAAAAACAGACCATCCTCTCCTGTCTTCTTCACCAGCCCACTCTCATCCCCCAAGATCCAGACAAGGGCACACTCTCCACTTCCTCGAGCTGGATCCGACGGCTACTCGTATGGCCAACAGAGCCCCAAACAGTCGCCTCACAACCAAAGGCTTAATTCCTCGTCTCTTTATGACAGGAGCCCACACGCCTCAGTCAGTTACATGGATAGAAGCCCCTCTCCGAGCTCCACTTTGGACCAGTCATCTCGGTCTGCCTCGCTCCATTCCTCCTCCAACCTACTGAACCCTTATGAGAGCAGCCAGATGGGCCGCAGGTCGCCTCAGCCAGACAGAAGCCCCTCTCCTTTGTTATTCAATCGTCCAATGACCAACACACTTCCTCGAAATTTTGGCATTTTGAGGCAACCTGGTAAGTCCCTGTAGTTCTCCAGCTGTAAAACAGAACTTTTAATTATCATGGGAATAAATCAACTTTATTCCTATTTTCGCTTTCAGTTAACATCACATGCAATATGGGAATCTACCTTCGAGATTGGCATATTTTATATTAAAGAAACAGTACCTCAACATATAATGGATGGCTTTATACTGCAATAATTAAAATATGAACAGCATTGTTGTGTTTCATGAAGAAGAGACACTTTTGTATACTAGTCTAGACTGTTTCAGTTAGAGATGTCATTTAAGTGCCATTTCAGCAGGAAGCTGGTTCTACTCAGTCAATTTGATGAAATTGCACCATTTGAAACAGAAATTCAGAACTGTCCCTCAGTGTAATACCACTGGACAACTACTAATATTCCACATTGATCTTTTCCAATATGGTCATGCGTCAGGTTTTTGTATTGCTAAACATGCGGTTGAGATGTGGTGTAGTTCATAAATAATTATACTGTTAATGTTATATCATGTTAATAAAACCCAGTTTGTTTACATTAGAGGTGGAAGCTCTGGAAGCTGACTTTAGCTGAAGCAAAAATGGGCTTCATAGATATAAAATATAGTAATCTTACCAGTTTGTCATAAAAGATAGAAAGATAGATAGATAGATCTCACTTTTTAAACATTTAAATGAAAAAAAGCTATGAAAATATACTGCAACCTATCACTGATATTGACAACAGTACTCTATAAAGATTCTATAAAGTCTTGGAGATACACTGGCCTGTAAAGTACTGTTTTTTTTAAAGTTCCTTTTGTAAATGTGTCCCTCTTTCTGGCACTTGTGTTTCGTTGCTCTCTCTCTCTCTGTCTCTCTCTAAATCATACTCTTTATCTCTCCCAGATCAGAATATGCCAGGACAAAAAAGTATTGGCAAGTGGAATGAGACAGATCTGGACGTGTCTTACGAGAAGAAACCTCACCAACCCTATGACAGTTAGTTGATTTCTTCTACTTTCTGTTCTGTTTCTTGTATTTTGTGTTATGCAGTTGTGTATTTAGTCCAGGACAGAAGAAGCACTGGTGCTGGTGCACTGTATGTGGTCTCTGTTTCTCTAAATTAACACTTTCCTGTTACAGAGACAGAGTGGCTCCGGCCATCTGTGCCAAATAGCAGTTGGAGAGAATCCAACCTCGATGGACCGCCTCAAGCCCCAAACCTCAAAAAGGTTGGTGTTAGTAGAGAGACTATAGGTACTGTGATAGGTTGTGGTAGCCATTCCCTCGAGTTCCTGAGAAGCCTCAGATATCCATCAAACCAGAGTTATTGCAAGTCACATGGTATTGTTTTCACAGATCAGAACGAGGTGAAGTAGCTAACAGACTGTGGGCAGGGATAGAAGTATTTGTAGATCACTCATAGCATTTATATTTTCAGATGGTTTGTCCTCTCTCGGGCAGAAACATCAAACCTGCTGAAAGTGGTGCAATTCACAGCTGACACGATGTTACTGACTTGTTAAGTTAAGTTCTGCCTCGGGAAATAGTTGCGTATCTCCACATCTTGCAGGCACAAAGCAACATTATCATCCTATTGTAGTCCTGTTGGTTCATTTTCCTTTTGGCTCAATTCATTATTATTATTCTATTTTACCATTTGATGCTGAGCAGGTAACCTACAGTGGGTTTATCAGAGCATTTTGCAGCCAATTCATAGTTTTCACGTTATGTCACATTCTAAGGAAGACGCTCCCTTGGAGGGCAAAAAAGTTTTCCGCTGCCTGCCAACCAGGAAGAAAGTGATACATTGTTATTTTGTTACTTTTTGCGTTGCCAAAATGCTGGATGGTTGTGCTTTCGGATTTACTAATCGAGGAGACAAGCCTGGGCTGTGTTAGGTGAGGGATTCCCCAGAAGGTAAAAGTAAACATTACCGCAGTCGAGCGGTGGCAGGGACCTGGCGGTAACATTATACGGATCGGATATGCCCAACACTTGCAGTTTGTGTTCATATCTTTTTTTCCTTAAGTTGAAAGGTGATACAAATGAAATTTCACTGCTTTTGCGTCGTCTCTACGGGGGAGTCGCAGTGTTGGTCTGATGTTTTGCCCTCAAGGTCATCGCGTCATCGGTCATTTGACTGAACACTACGAATAGCTGACAAGTGGTTGACTAATTGTGAATGAACCATACAATAAATTTGGTAGGGTTAGGGTAAAGAGGCTAAAGCTCCATAGAGCTGCAGAGTTAGGTGATTTGGATTACACAATCAATGGATTGTGATTAGCAAGAATTCATCTCATTTTTCTTTCTTTTCTAGGATCCTCGCTCTCCTTCTCTCCAGTTTTCCTATAGTTCTCTTCCACGTAACACACGTATATCAGTACCTCCAGATGGTTCATCCCAAGCTCACTCCCTTTACCCCCCTCAGCCCATCATCTCCCGTATTTCTATCCCCCCAATTTCTGCTCACTCCCGTCAGCACAAGCCCATCCCTCTCTCCGTTATCATGCGTCTCCAAAACCCCCACTGGGGTCAAATGTCAACCTGCCACCCCAGAGTCCTGGGTGGAGAAGGTGACATGGCATCTTACCAACCAGCTGTACCGAGGGAATTCTTCCACCAACCTATACCCCAGCCACAGCAAAACCCACCTGAGCCGAGACAGCCAATCATATACAGTGACGGTACATCACATTCAACATCTGCATACACACACACTGATACTCTTTATGTTCACAGGATCTTTGTTCAACTAACTTTGCACGACAAAAATTTGGTTTGTTATCCATCTTTGCAGTGCTGAACCCAGGGGATATAGATGCAGAATTAGAGCGGCTGGACTTTGTGCCTGTGATTCCCGAGAATCCCAGCATGCCAGAGGGCAATAGTAAGGTCACTCAGGGCGTTCCCCCAGCTCCCCGGCCCCTCAGCCCAACCAGGCTGCAGCCAGTGGTGGCTCCTGAGGCCCAGATCCAGGAGATTCCTAACCTGGAGGAGCTGCTTCGCATTCGTGCAGAAATCCCCAGGGCCCTGAAGAAGCGGGGCTCTGTAGAGCAGTCAAAGCCCCTGAAGAAGGCCGACCAATACCAGCCGAACCAGTACAAAAATCTCATTGACAAGCTTTTTCACAGGAAGAACCACCGGCAGAGGGGGGAGCAAGGTAGCGATAGTGACAGCTCCTCAGACGTAGAGGAAAGTGCGACACCTCGTGCCCCTTTACCAGCACCTCGGACATCTACAGTGATTCCCTATGACTTCAGAGTAAGAAATGTGCTTAGAGCAACACATGTACTAATATCTGTACAATCAGAAATGTGTCAATTTGTAAAAAACAAAAAACAAAAACAATGGCCTAATGGCTTAATTGGAAATATGATAATGCCAGTTAGTTAATGCAATAAATTGCTGTGTAACATCATTATGGTATCTTATTACATTAAAATGTGCTGTACCACACCACATATGAAACAGTAAATCAGATTATTTCATAATGGGATGAAATAATGATGGGATTTATACATTAAATATTTTTATATTTAATATTTTAAATGGACATTTTGTTATGTAACTGTACACGATATGGCTATGATTGGCTATGGCTAATGTTACATTTTGTCTCAAACAACTGTGCTGGTTGAAATTCTTTGTAGTCAAGTTTTTTACTTTACACAAGCTTGCATCCTCTTTGTCCCTTCAGAGCTACCATTCCATTCTGCGGCGGTCCAATCGGGAGTACAAAGGTTCTGCGAAGCGAGCTCGACTCAGCCCACTTGTCCTGCTACTGGATGGCGCGTTGGTCGGAGAACTGGAGACAGTGCAGAGGGCCTTGCAGGAGGTGTGTGTGCCTATACTATACCTAGGGCTGGGCAAAACAATAAAACAATAATGATAATTATCGCAATATAATTTTCCTCAATAACAATATAATAAATGTTCAATATATCGTCAATAAATATTTATTTGAATCACAACCAAATTAGCACTTAATTGTGTTATTAAAAATATTTATTTTGTTGAGAAAAAGTGGCCTGAAAGATTAACTAATCATATTTGTTGAAAACAAATAGTTTTGAATCCATCTCATAATTAACCATCTGGTTGCTTCAATTTTCACTCAGGAGCAAAAATCTGCCTTTAAACTTGAAAGAAATAATGATTTGACATATATCGTGATAATTATTGATATTGAATGAAATGTTTTTTTTGTGATAAAATTTTTGGCCATATCGCCCAGCCCTAACTATACCTTACTGTATATACTATCACTGCCACTACTGTCACTGCCACTACTACTCTACTGCAGCTACAACTACTACTACTCTAGTGTTATTTCAACTCCAAGTAGTAGTAATCATATACAGTGGGTACGGAAAGTATTCAGACCCCTTTAAATTTTTCACTTTGTTTCATTGCAGCCATTTTCCAAAAATCAAAAAAGTTCATTTTATTTCTCAGTAATGTACACTCAGCACCCCATCTTGACAGAAAAAAACAGAAATGTAGAAAAACTGAAATATCACATGGTCATAAGTATTCAGACCCTTTGCTCAGTATTTAGTAGAAGCACCCTTTTGATCTAATACAGCCATGAGTCGTTTTGGGAAAGATGCAACAAGTTTTTCACATCTGGATTTGGGTATCCTCTGCCATTCCTCCTTGCAGATCCTCTCCAGTTCTGTCAGGTTGGATGGTAAACGTTGGTGGACAGCCATTTTCAGGTCTCTCCAGAGATGCTCAATTGGGTTTAAGTCGGGGCTCTGGCTGGGCCATTCAAGAACAGCCACGGAGTTGTTGTGAAGCCACTCCTTCGTTATTTTAGCGGTGTGCTTAGGGTCATTGTCTTGTTGGAAGGTAAACCTTCGGCCCAGTCTGAGGTCCAGAGCACTCTGGAAAAGGTTTTCGTCCAGGATATCCCTGTACTTGGCCGCATTCATCTTTCCCTCGATTGCAACCAGTCGTCCTGTCCCTGCAGCTGAAAACACCCCCACAGCATGATGCTGCCACCACCATGCTTCACTGTTGAGACTGTATTGGACAGGTGATGAGCAGTGCCTGGATTTCTCCACACATACCGCTTAGAATTAAGGCCAAAAAGTTCTATCTTGGTCTCATCAGACCAGAGGATCTTATTTATCACCATCTTGGAGTCCTTCAGGTGTTTTTTAGCAAACTCCATGCAGGCTTTCATGTGTCTTGCACTGAGGAGAGGCTTCCGTCAGGCCACTCTGCCATAAAGCCCCGACTGGTGGATTGCTGCAGTGATGGTTGACTTACTACAACTTTCTCCCATCTCCCGACTGCATCTCTGGAGCTCAGCCACAGTGACCTTTGGGTTCTTCTTTACCTCTCTCACCAAGGCTCTTCTCCCCCGATAGCTCAGTTTGGCCGGACGGCCAGCTCTAGGAAGGGTTCTGGTCGTCCCAAACGTCTTCCATTTGAGGATTATGGAGGCCACTGTGCTCTTAGGAACAATTCTGTCTCTGAGCTCTTCAGGCAGTTCCTTTGACCTCATGATTCTCATTTGCTCTGACATGCACTGTGAGCTGTAAGGTCTTATATAGACAGGTGTGTGGCTTTCCTAATCAAGTCCAATCAGTATAATCAAACACAGCTGGACTCAAATGAAGGTGTAGAACCATCTCAAGGATGATCAGAAGAAATAGACAGCACCTGAGTTAAATATGAGTGTCACGGCAAAGGGTCTGAATACTTATGACCATGTGATATTTCAGTTTTTCTTTTTTAATAAATTTGCAAAAATTTCTACATTTCTGTTTTTTTCTGTCAAGATGGGGTGCTGAGTGTACATTACTGAGAAATAAAATGAACTTTTTTGATTTTTGGAAAATGGCTGCAATGAAACAAAGAGTGAAAAATTTAAAGGGGTCTGAATACTTTCCGTACCCACTGTATAATACAAAACCCATTGCATCAAAATATCTACAATTTATAGTTTTTAATAAATATGGACAACAAGCGTAAAATCAATTCAAAGAAAATAGCATGATGCACACGTGAAGACTACCAACCATAGTTATGTAAAACATATTCTATTCAGATTAAAGATGAAATAAAATTAATGCAATAATGCACTTTGCATTTGTTATTTTGGTTACATTGTTTCCCAAGTTTACCACTGCTACTAAAACTATCTTCCAAAAAGATTTTATATTCTTTTTAGCTTACATCAGCAGCTTCCAGAAATACACTTTATAGGGTAAAAACTCATTCAAACCAGTCTAAACTAAGACCACAAAGCGTAGCGCCAAAGTTGGTGCTCCAGTTCTGAATGTAGATTTTAAGATGCACTGAAAAATATGTTACAGTATATTTAACTTTCATTCTCTCAGGGAATATTTGCTGAGCCTGCGTTTCCTTATTCAACACATCCCTGCATCTTCCTCACACAGAAATACAATAGCCTGGAAGTTTCTCATGCAGTAAAATAACTTCCTTTTCAGCCGCTGAGGTGATTCTGACAGTGGTTTTGGGATGAGGCTAGTAGATAAAGCCAGTTATAATAGACATAGACAGAAAAACCTCTTCCTTTAACATCTCACTATGTGAACAGTGTAAGAATATCTAAGTGTTTACTTATTCTGTTTAAAATGTTTTCCATAGATGAACGACCCTAGCCAACCCAATGATGAAGGCATCACTGCCCTTCACAATGCCATCTGCGGGGGCCATTACAATGTAGTGGATTTCCTGGTTCGCTCTGGAGCCAATGTCAGCGCACCAGACAGCCACAGCTGGTGCATATTTCCTTATTCTTTTCCACCTACATATATCATCAACATATCTCATTATCTTTGGCCTCCTCTAACGGTTTTGTTTAACTATTAGTCTTAATGTGATATTTTCATTTAATAATAAAATTAAAGGATAAAAATTCTTAATCACCCTTTAAGTACCCTTAAATGTATTTAATTAGTTCTTTGGCCCACAGGACTCCGCTGCATTGTGCAGCTTCTTGTAACGACCGTCCTCTGTGTGAGTTTTTGGTGAGGAATGGAGCTGCTGTAATGGCCGTAACAGAGAGCGACAGTGCTACTGCCTCCCAAAAGTGCGATCCTTACGCTGTTGGGTTTGAAGAGTGTGAGAACTTCTTGAAGGGTGAGGCGATTACACCTACGTGAACACACACCCCATGACACTTCAGTATTAAATGCTGAAAACCAGTTTTAATAGAATGAATCATAAAATGACACCCGTTGATAGTTCATACACCTACTGAGGCTCTGATCTGACTTACTGCTTTATGCTTAGTCTCCCATCAGTCATTCTCACTCATGTACCTAATATCACTAATGCCAAAACAAACCATCATAAAACTTAAATTTTCATGTATGAATTTCATCCATAGTAACTTATAGGGAACATATAGGGTTTGGTATCTTTCTCATGGACAACAGGGCACATTGTGATGGCAAGCTTTAAACAATATGCGAGTTTTGTGCTAATATTTGGAATCCTTAAGTATGAACATTTCACACCAAATCTGCTGGTACAGTAAGTGTTATGCTTTATTATATATTGTGCTAACTTTGTAATAACAGGTGTGGAGGAGGCCATGGGTGTGGAAAACAGTGGGGTGTTGTACGCTCTGTGGAGCTACCCAGCTCAAGCTGCCGATGAGCTGAGCTTCAAAGAGGGAGACATGGTCACCATCCTGCAGAAACCAGAAGGGTCAGATTGGTGGTGGGCCTCACTCTGTGGCAAGGAGGGCTTTGTTCCAAACAACTACTTTGGGGTAAGATGCCAATTTCTAAATAAAAAAATTAGCTTCCCCTCCTGAATTTGAAAACATGAATGTTAATGTTTTTTGTTGTTTGTTTTTTGCAGCTTTTCCCGAAGGTTCGACCAAAATCTCTGTGTTAAATGGTTTCTTAATGATCAACCCTGGTCAAACTGGTGCAGTGGAAAGTCTCAAAAACTGTGCTTTACAGCTTCACACTGTTGTGTGAAAGGACTGTGTCTGTGGGATTATGAAAAGGCTGTATTGCTGCAGGACATGAGAAATGTTTTTGATCCGTCAGTCAAGGAGAGTTGAAGGAGAAGTCTCAGTAGTCATTTTGGCCTCACTGACAAGTATAAATCTTTTTACAAGACATAATTTGTACTGGCGCTGCTGTAGGATATTTTTCTTGTACAGCTACAGTTCTGCACTGTGCTAAATCTTTCTGTCAAGCTATGCCTGTCTGACCAAAGGTTACTAAAGAGCCATATTCCCTGTTGTGTTGCTCAGCTTTGTTCCAATCAGAAGTTGACATTTCTGACTCATTGGCTGGTTAGTAATCAGAACTCAAACAGTGGCTGTTTGAGCAGTTCTCTCATCTGCGAGGTCAATGTAGCTGTATGCTATCAACAAACATGACCCATGATTGCTCAGTTTAGAAAAGAGCTGCTTCAACCTATTCATTACTCAAACAGAGTTCTCTGCTGCTGGATCAAAGAAGCATCGAAAACTCTTAAGTGAAAAAGAGTGGTCAGACGTTGACATGAAACTTGGATTATTTTTATAATATTTCTTAAATGTACTCTATGTACATATCACTGTTTTTGCAAGTAGTTTATCTGATGTTAGTGTCATTTCTTCCTTTTTCTCTCTATGCATACTGGAACTATATACTTTATATTTTCTGACAACTGCTGATGGTTTTACTTGCCAAATATTTTTGAAGAGTGGTGTTTTAATGGTTTCCTACCAAATAGGGCTGTAGACTTTAGACTCTACTGTAGTCCACACACACAATGTAGATCTTTCATGCTCCCTATATAAATGAATCTCATTTTGAAGAGAATGTGTGTTTTCTATGACAGTGAAACTATACATTTTGTGGATGTGTGTGTTTTCACAGTGGTAGAATGAATGAGTGTTTGGTGGCATTTGTACTGTGTGTTTCTATGCTGTCCATTTTGAGTGTATTGCTTTTGTTGCTAGGGACTGCTGTGCACGTAAGCTGTAAACCCTCCCAAGGGACACACAGTGACAAAATGTTTAAATAATAAATAAATACATGAGTCACATGTTTTTGTTTTCCATTGAATGTGTTTGTCACAGCAATTTGTTTGTGGTATAAAATAAGACTGAAATGTCCTTTAATGACCAGCAGGTGACACTGTATAATCAAGTATAAATTCAGCACTAGTATAAGATTTAACATTTGGCAACAGTATCAGTATATAAACTAATATATAGTTAAACACCATTTATTAAGACGCTGTTCTGCAGTATCGGCCCTGTGTTGTGTGTTATATAAACCCTTCTAAGTATTTTGTTTTTTTGAAGTTATATTTATACTCATGTTCTTTCTCCCTCTCCTCTTTTTACACACCATAGAGCACCAAAGCGACTGCTGTGATTCTTGAATCAGTTAGCTGCACTATTATGCATAGGGGTAATTACAGAAAAAACTACACACATGATTAATATTTTTTAATTAAGTCTGACTCAAGCTTATGATCTGTAGACTATCTCTACCCCATTGGTATTAAGAAAACTCCCAATGCTACTATGCTTCATCACAATCCCCGAGGAAGATTAGTGTCAATGTTGTTTGAAGCTGACTGGTGTTTCCCTTTTACTGTTCTTCTTTTTTATTTTTATGTGGATTATAAAGATAGATAGATGATGACGATGACATACACACATTCACAGGTTACTCACAAACACTGTGGTGTGTATTTGTGGTGCGCTAATGTAGTAGATACCAGATTTTCTGGTGAATAATTCAGATGATTTAAGTGAAGTCAACTGTCCACTAGCCTGTGGCAGCGTACATAATGTTCTGCTGAAATAGATCTCCTCTTGGCCTCGACTAGAGGGCTATGGCGAAGAAAAGGAGCATACACTGCAAAATGCCCTCTTAAGTCTCATCTTCATTCATATTATATTATATTTCTTGATCCAAGTCAATAACTCAACCAAGGAGGTGGGGTAGCGTGACTTATATCACTGTAGTTTAATTCAAAGAGAGGATGAATAAGACGAGTCACTTCCTCACAGTGAATATAATTATTTGCATAGAACATTTCTTTCACCACAAGTTTTCATGTTTTTTTATAATGTAACTTTTTGGTTAAGATGATAAAAAAGATGAGTAGTCGTAGTCCTTTAAATCAGTGCTTCCCTACGTGGGGGCTCAAGAGAAATCTAAGGGGGGGGGTCCCAAGATGGTTAAATGGATAAAAGAAAGACAAATAGTGCTAACTTTTTATACAACAGAATGTAATCTTTGTTTCTTGTTGTGAAAACTGGAACGCTTGGCCTCTTCAGACCTCTAAAAACTATTAAAATAAGAAATAGAAATGCATGATGGGACCTCGGCTTGCTTTACATCGTATGTGGGGGTTTCTGTTTCTGATCAGAGTCTCAGACAACCTCCTGCCTACAACCACAATACACATTTTGGGTCCATATGGCCACAAACATTCAGTCACACTAACCTTACCTCTTTCTCCCTGTTCAGCTTTGACAGTGCTGGACTGGAGAAAGAATTGTATCTGCAGTGATTCTGTTCAAGCAGAACTCATTTGACGCCTCATTGAAACCCCATTATAACCAAGATAGAGCAAAATGAACTCTTATTGATATGTTCTGCAGCCAGCTGGTTCAGGGTAGCGGAGGACTTGCCCAGTCTGCGGCATAGTTGCACATTTTTGTTTTTATCTTATTGTCATTCTCCTCACTGTGTTCAATTCTGCCTCACAGCCCCCACCACCCCCACCTACACACATATACACTGTGATTTCAGAAATGGACATTATTAGAGCCAGCCTCTTTGGCCCATCATGGTCTGAAACCCCACACGACAGGCCAGACCTTAACTGCTTTGGTCAAAAAAAACAAAATAGCATTAAGAGCAGATGGGCTTTACAGGCATGAAGTAAAGAACAGGGATGGGGATACTCTATAGAGACATTTGAGGGGTGAGACAATGACATAGCAGAATGGGGAAATTGAATGAAGATAAATTTAGTGTGATGGAGGGAATGGAATACCTTTCTGAGTTCATCAGGCAATTTTCTGTTTGATGGGATACCTGCCAGAGGAATGCAAGGATAATCTACAAACCACTCAGTCATGTTAAATGTGCTCCCTTATACCTGCCCTGACTGACAGCAAGAATAATCAACTATTACAATGTGAAATCTGTTCTGATGGTGACTAAAAGATAGAGAATAGAGATTAAACAAAATGCATAAAAGGAAGGGTTCATTTCAGTTTAAGTTTGTGACCATGGAGTTAAAGTTGGAAACACACTCACATCCATACACACAGACATTGTTGCAGACATGACATGGGTATACAATGATTCTGCCTTAAGATGGCAACCAGTGGACCCGCAGGTCATCAAAGTTGTATGTTTTTGCCTTTTAATATTGAACAAACACGCCTCTCAGTTATACGTCTGAGGAGATTGGTTCTGTCAGGCCAGTGACAGGAAAGTATTTTATAATGTGATCTCAGCAAGAGCTATCTTTCATTATTTAGTGACAACAAACTGGCTTGTAAATATGTGTGTTTTTGTGGCTCAACATGGCTGTGACAACAGTGGATGCAATCATACTGAATACCAGACCAGAACGGGACTGATGTCTCCCTATATTTGAGAGTATTGTATGTGACAGCCAGCAAACTGCCTTGAAGGGAGCCCTGTGTGTGTTAGAGCGCGTGTGTGTATGTGTGTTTACATGTGGTCTTGTTTGCGTGTATGCACATGTGTGCCTGCACTTTTGCATGCATGCTCCACTCTCTCTCAGACACTGAGGTGAGCAGACAGATCGGTGGCCCTGCAGAAATGCAGAGCTTTACTCTATGCAGCCAGCCCTGCATCAAGGGCACACACTGGGAAAACAAACAAACAAAAACAATATACAAATAAAGGGGGGAAGACCAGCCCAAAAAGATCCCTACTCCACTTCTGTTTCTTTCAGTCTATCCCTACTTTGGCTATTCTAGCCATGCTCCCACTATATGCTCCTGTGGAGTAATGAATAATAGAGGAGTGCTTGTCCTCCCTCGCTCCCCTAGTTAATCAGAGCTCGCCTGGCTGCCCTCTTCTCTGCCACTCCTCACTTTAATAAATCATTCAGGCCTTCAGGACAACAGGTCCGTCAGCACAGGCTAAGCAAGTGCCATGCTGGTAAAAGCCCTGCCATCTTCTCTAACTACAACCTTCTCCTCCTCCACTCCAAAACCAGGAGCAGCCCTGTCTCCCTCTGTCTCTTTGTCTCATCTCTTAGGTCCATCTCCCACTTCATTTCTCTCCCTCCCTCTGTCTCTCTCCCACGGGAAACAATTTCACTTAAGCTCTCACTCTGCCAGGATTCAACTCAATGCATAATGTTCTCATTTCTCATCTCTTTCACAATTCTCCTCCTTTACGCCTCCGCTCTATCTCTATCTGCCCTCCCTGAACAAGCAGAAATTCCTGTCGGGGATGACGTCACATAGATGTGTCCCAAATGGATGATGCTGCATAGAGGGTCATAAAAAAGGATGGATACAACAAAAATCCCTGCAATTTGTACTTCGAGTCGTAACTACAATTAACTATTTCACTATTCAAGGGTTGCAGTAGCTTCATTTGCACCATCAAGCTGACTTTAATCAAAGTAATGTAGGGAAAATTTCAGGGATTTATGTAATCCATCTGTAAAATTCAGTATTCCAGTCATTTTGTGTCATGATTTGTTGTTGATTTGTTTGATTGTTTTGGTGTTTTGGGTGTACCGACATCCCTCTTTGCTTCAGCCTGTTCCTTCAACTTCTATTTCAGTTAGTGAAGTAAATGCAGTTCCTACATGAATTTATTTCCTCCTCTGTTGCAAGTAGTTTTATATGTTACACTTGAAGCATTTTGAGTTTGAAGCAAACTCAATATGTTTGTGTGGATGATTGATGAGCAGTGGACAATGGTGAGACCAGAATGAAGCTTTTACAGTAATTAGACAAACTAGCAACAAAACATTGATGTTTACTGTTGATGTTTTAGTCAGGAAACCACCACCAGCCGGCAAACATTACAAGGACTTCAGTCATGTAAAAACACACTAGCAGAGAGCTTGTCACAAATACAGAGTCAGTTGGGATTTGTTCAAAGTTATGAAGACATGACAGCAATGCACAAATAAATTGCTACTAAATACTACTGTATTTTCTTTGTCTTTGTGCTAAGCTGCAGTAAACATGTCTAAGACCTGGAAACACAAAGGTCAGTCAACATCATCTAACATGGTAAGACTTCAAAACAAGTGTATTTCATATGTTGGCCCGTTCCTGTAACACAGAGCCATACTCACATTCTGGAACAGGTCTTTACTAAAATGCTCAGGATAAATACTAGAACGTATTTGTGGGGAAAACAAAGGACAATGATTTGAAAGATATTACAAAAGCCTTTGTTTGGTCCATATACTTGAACATGCTCACAGTCATTATATGTTCTCCATTCTTCTCTCCTCCATCCATTCACTCTCTCCCTTGTTCTGTGGCTTCCCTCCTCCCTCCCTGCGACAATATACCCACAGATCCTCTCTGGGTATCAATCCTTTGTGTGATCAACCTCTGCATCAACTCTGTCTCCTCTCCTCACGTCTGTGGGTGTTCTTAGCCTCTTTGAGTCCTTTACAGAAAGACAGACAGACGAATAATTGCCTGATGACAATTATTCTTAATCTGGCTCCATTAACCAAGCACCCCCCGACTCACACCACCTCCTTAGTGAAACCCCCATCCTGTCCTCCATCTCTCGCCCTATCTCTTTGGTGTTTATCTCTCTGTCACCCTCTTTCATTCTTTCTTTCCCTCACTCTTCCTCTTTCTCTCTATCTCTCTCTCGCAGTACAGTTGTACACAAATGACTCAACTCAAGCTTTTTGCACATCTCATCCCTTTAAATGGTCACTCAAGCATTTATTTCATTATTTACCACAACCAATAAAGTGGGTATGTGTATATAGTGTGTATATAGTGTGTATATAGTGTGTATATAGTGTGTATATAGTGTGTATATAGTGTATAT